AACACACTACTCTCCCACAAGAGGAAATATGCTAACAACATCACATTACACAAAGTGAGTGTGTGCTGTGTCAGGCTAAATTTCTTCTGTTTGCCCTCCGATATCCAGTCCAGCATTTTCTGCTGACATTGGCCTGATACACGGTGTTGAATCAGATGTGTAATTCTTAAGAGACAAATTGTCTACCACTGACCACTGTCAATGTCATCATGCATATCAGTGTGTTATTTTTAAATGCTCATTAACCTGCTTTGTTTCAGTGCTGCTTTCTTTCTTTCAGCTTTGTATTATTGTTGCCTGTGGTATAAATAATGTTCATTCAGCACCATTACAACATTGTTCTTACTGCTCCTTCACTGTTAACGCATGCTGCACCAAGGTTTGGCGCTGCCTCATTGACAGTACATTGCTGTAAATGTCAGATGCATGTTGCATCTTTTTTTTGTTTGTTTGTTTCATTTTAAGCCTCTTTCGTCTGCTTTGCAAGATGGCCAACGATGTTAAAAGTCTGTCATGTTGTTCTGTATGAAAAGGGCAGTTCTGCGTCAGAGCTTTGACTAAGTGCCTTTGTTCTGTCTGTTGACTGATGTTGTTCTGTATCTGAGCCACAACTCAATGACCCTCCCCTGTCCATTTTTCATGCTGTCTCCTTACCAATGGCTTCTGTGCATGTAAGTAATACAGAGTGACTTTGTCGCTGTGGTTTTTTTCTCTCTGTCACTTTCTCTTAGTGTCTCAGCAGTGGTGATGTTAACCTAGTTTTCATGCGTGCTTATTAGTAACGTTGGTTTGTTTCTGTTGCGGGAACAACAGATAACAAAACACCAAAACCAGGCCCAGTGAGCCATTTCAGTATCTGTGCATGTTTTTTTTCTTTTGGCTTGCTTCTGTATTTTGATGTGCTTATTTTAAATCCTGTAGCTGTTTGGTTGCCCACTACCCCCTTATGCATTCACATACTTAAAGTGCTCATATTGTGGAAAAACTAATTTTCCTTGCTTTTTTTAAATACAAGTTGATGTTGTAAGTTTTTAAATAGCCAATTACATGAGACTGTACACTCCATATATGGAAACTATGCTGTAAAAACAGCCCATTTTGAGTTTTTTTTTGTGATGTCACTAAAATAACACATTTACATATATCTTTATATATACATTTCTTTAGTGTGTAGCAGTTTAGCTCAGCCCATTGAAGTTATAATTAATGTTTCAGCCCAGTGTAATAAAAATAATTGACGCTGTCAAAAGTTGACTCATGCAGGGTCAAAACTTCCCACATGTAGAACTGTAAATGTTGAAAAAAAGTTGACACCATACAAAAGTTTTTTTGTACTCACAACTGTAATTAAATCTCAGCATTTATCTCAGCAAGCCATTGAGTATCACAGTGAACTATTAGTAGGTGTACCATTTACAATGAAGGCACATGGAGGTGTACTGAATAAACCTCTCAGTGTATTGTTTTACTGTAGTATATTATTTAACTGCTATGAATTCTCAGAATTCTGAAGTAGCACAGCTAGGCTAGGCTTAAGCTTGCATTACCTCATATTTGTTACTGGTTTAATCTGCAGTGGCTAAAACATTTAAATAAAACCCTTTTTTAAATGTACTCCATTGTCTGTTACTAAATTATCCAAAAGAATGCCTTGTTGGTCCCTTTTGAAGATGGAGATTTGCCAAAGGGGGTCATCCCTATGTTCCAGGGTCCTTTATTTTCTAGGAAACTGCTCTCTGTTTCTCAGGTCCTGTCTGTGCAGGCTGCGCTCTGATTTTTCAAAAGAACATTTGTGTTACAAAGTTTGCAAAGCTAGCTAATTATCTCGCTGAGGCTAGCATAGCTGTGGACAAGCACGTCCCTGTTGAAAATATCTGCTCCTCATTGTTCCTTTGTATGACCTCTGATGACCCCAAGACGCAATACTTTAGGAATCCTTTCAGAAGTATCCTTAATGTACTATATTGAGGTTTGATGTCTTATTTAAAGCTCTAACAGGATATAAAGCCCTGGCAACATGGGGATGCTCTCCTGCCAAAGTAATATTACAGCAATTCTCTGAACTAAACCTCATGGTTGGTGGCAGTTGTTGTAATTCAGAGTGTAAACAGTACCTAAAGGAAATTCCTTCCATAGGTTATCAGCATAGTTAAATACAACATTTGGTCATGACAACTTTTAATGCAGTGTCAGTCATTTGTGCATATGCACACATAAATTTATATGCATACAAATTAAATTTTTGACAGTGTCACCTACTTTTATTGTACTGTTGCTTTCTGAATAAGGCACAAAACAAGGCAGCCAATCAGAACAGAGGTGATTTACATGTATGAGTTGCAAAGGCACTGTAACAAAACCAGTTAATAAGAGGGGCTGAAGAGTCGTGTAAAAATGAATTATGACTGATGGTATGTAAACCCACACAAACCTGAACACCTTAAGTAAAAACAATACAAAAAACGCAAAATACGGCCCCTTTAAACATTAAATAAAGCTTCCAGCCAGCACGTCAAACCCCCTTAAAGATCTCGAGCACATAGGCACGTGTCTCAGGTCATGTGAAAGACCAGCATGAATCATTTAAGGCATCTAAGCGGAGAGTAAGAGAAGAGTCTGCAGAGGATCTCCTTTCGCATGGCAGCTACACAGACAGCCAGCTCCTGTTACACACACAGACTCGAGTCAGCATCAGCGTACAAGACCTACTTCTCCCTGCACATCTCTGTACTGCACTCCTACTCACGTTAAACTAGCCCCACGGGCGCCTCTCTTACATTAGCCACTTCCTTTTCGCAGTAGATCTGTTTAAAAATCCACAAGAGTCTCCTTCCCTCTGTGTTCCAGCTCAGTCTCCTTTCCTTTTCCACCTCACAGTTGAATCCTTGAAATGTACCCCTCTAAACATGTATGTTTCCTTATATCAAAAGTGCTTTGTCTGCTCATGTTAGCACTGCAGAGCAGGAAACCATATCAAACAGGCTGAGTGAGCAAGACAGTGTAAGGCTGAGTAAGCAGGGCTGCACTCATTTTTACTAGGGCTCTACTGATATATAGTTTGGTTGATAAAATAGGACAATATTACGGTTCCACATATTTATTTTCCCAAATGTCTGGGAATAGAAATATTGTACTCAAAAAGGTGGCAAAGAAGCTTTAGGGCAGAAAGTGATTTTGTGTGAACACAGTTCAAGTGAGGTTCTTTTGTTAAATACTTTAAACTTTTTCAGAGTTAAACATTGTGAGAATTTGTCATTTACCTATTTCAGTATTGAATTTTAAAGTCAAAGGGGAATTTTACTAAGTTCAGAATGCATAATTCAAACACTGCACTCATATACAGTAAATCGGACATTGTATTGACTCTTGTTGCAGCTGAAGAATAGCTAGATAACGTTTATTTCTCTAGCAAACTACAGTAATGATAATGTAAAGGAGTGCATGTGTGAGAGTGCATTAATATAGTTCAATCTGTTATGATACATTAATATGTAGTACATGAAAGAGGAATTCTGCTGATTTTTCAGAATGTCTGCATAATTACATGGTTGAGATGTAAACAAAGTCATTTAATGTAGTTTAATGTGAAATGGTCCATTGTAGACGTATTGACTTCTTTACAGTGGCTGTGATAGGAACCAGATGTCACAATGTCTACAACTCAAATATAGCCTTTATTATTTACTGTCTAAAATGATCAGTGAACCTTCACGTCATCCGAGTTTTCCTGTGTAATGTTGGTGATAGAAAAATAGTGTTAAATCTGGAAGAATACATTTTCTTTTGGGGCTACTTTGCATTACAACACTCTGCATGTACCCCTTCACCATGAATGGAATGGAATGAAATGGAAGTTTTAGGCCAAAATCTAGTCATCAAACAATGTCTGAGACATCAGGCAGCATATTTGTAACCATTTCATGAAATATCTTTGTGATGTCACATTAAACCATTCTGACTGATTTGTATACATCTTACAAGCTTAATTATGCAGAAATTTTGAAGGTCCTTTAAATTTCCTTTAAATTATAAGAGTATTTGTAAGCAGCCTGACAGAGCCTGTTTAATTTGTCTTTTCCTAGCTCCTTTAGCTCAGTATCTGTATCAGTTTTCATATCGGACGAGCCCTAGTGTTTATAACCCCTCATGCTCTTTGATACAGCCCCTCTGGTTTGCTGTGCACACTCAGCCGTTACTGTGAGCCCTGCAACACACAGTCGTCTCAGCACTTTTCCCAAGCAGTGCAGTGATAGATGAAGCCACTGTGACTCAGTTGGGGATCCCGTGTCACCCAGCTGCAGGATCAAAACACATAACCTTCCCTCAGCCACCCTTACATTACATAAGCATGTAGGGGCAAGCATGTTGACCTTACTGGTCACTGCAATCTCAGACATGAAAATAGGCCCCAGCAGCAGAGATGCTAGTCCTCATCTAAATATACTCCTTTCTCATTCCTGGCTTATATGAACAGCTCAGCGGAAAATTGAATTTACACAATGTTCCCTTAACCACAAATATAGTCAGTCAGTCAAGACATAGTTGACAAGTAATGGAAACTTATATCTTGTTAGCTTCATTAGCCTCGTAGCTCCAGTGTGAAATCAAAGAGGCAAACTTGGCACCAAACGTGTCTTGGCTAAGGGGAATACGTTTGATTTTTTGCCAAACTACTTTAAATATTTTAAGCATTCCTAGAGGTTCACAGTGTTTTCCTGCTGTTCACCAGGTTTAGGAATGTTTTTTGAACGCTTTAGGAGCTTCTGTTCAGGGCTAGTCTGAAACACTAAGCTGTGCAGGACGATAAACTTTCATGACTGGACTTTAGCACCCCTGGCTTAGAAGCAAATTAACATATTTGGTGTTGTCAGCATCTAGAAGAGTGCTTCAGATTATTGCAGTAGTGAATGTAAGGAACAGTTATTAGTCTGAATGAGGGGTTCATCGTGTCTTTGGAGCTTTGACTGACTCCTTAAATGTTCTCATGTTTTTCATTTCAGTGTTTGATCAACTAGATCTCGTCACGTATGAGGAGGTAGTGAAGTTGCCGGCTTTCAAGAGGAAAACACTAGTGTTGTTAGGTACGTATGGTACTGTTTATATAGGTCCTGAGTCTGACAAGGCCTGACCAAATATCACGTTTTGAAACAGATTCTGTCCAATTTTTCACAGACATCGTCCTCAGGTTGGACTCGGGTCGGATTGTCAGATTCAGATTTGTTTAATTTTTGATTAGTTTAATTTGTCTTTCTTGCACATGGTCAGTCTACGTGAAATACACAGCCTAGCTAACAGTCTTGCTTGCTGTTCACCATGGACAAAAATAAAGAGGAACTGTTAAAATTCCAAGTGAGTCAGGAACATCTTCATTGTGTACACCCATTACCAGTTATAGTGGACAGACAAGCCTTGCAAATATGTTCATATTGTTCGTAAATTTGTAGCAAGCATTTTTGCATTTAGTGAATGTCTTAAAAATTTGTGGTCGTTTTCCATCCATTTGCTCTTTGAAAACAGGCTTTAGCTAGCTAGCATTTACTTTTACGTACGCAGATAGTAGGGTTGCTGCAGACTTGTGGTTAGACAGTGACCAAAGAAATTAAACCCCTTGCATATTTATTTTAAAAAGCGTTTGGGAACTGGCAGGAGAGTGACAGCAGGTGTGCAGCAGGGTGAGAGAACCCAGACAAGACTTTGGGTTGGATAGAAGCAAGGGTGAGTTAAGAAAAACGACTGCAGTCTGTGTAAAGCAGCTAGTTTACAGACATCTCTCTATTCCATTCTGCAGCAGTGTAAGCGAGTTTGGTCAAGGTTTGGGTTTTAAATTTAGCAGCAGCAATAGTGGTCAGGTCTGGTCATGAGTACAGGCCAGATTCAGGCTTCAATTTCAACGCTGTGCAGATCTTTAGCTGTGTATCTAAAACTAGAAATACCTTTGATTTTTGCGTGGATGGGATCATCACAGCTTTTCTGTTCGCTGCACCTGTAGGAGCTCACGGTGTTGGCAGGAGACACATCAAGAACACACTCATCACCAAACATCCCGACAGATTTGCCTACCCCATTCCACGTAAGACAACACCAACTCAGTTCCGCCATTTTTACTAATTATCATATTTTGATGACATCAGTGAACGTTGATACATGTCCAACACTAACAGACACGACCAGACCTCCGAAAAAAGATGAGGAGAATGGCAAGAACTATTACTTTGTATCACACGACCAAATGATGCAGGACATCGCCAACAATGACTACCTGGAGTATGGCAGCCATGAGGACGCCATGTACGGCACCCGGCTGGAGACGATACGCAAAATCCACGAGCAGGGCCTCATATCCATACTGGATGTGGAGCCACAGGTGACGACTCTCGTTCACATTCACATTGTAACTGCAAAAGCTGTAGAACACTCTGCCAGTGTGTGCTGCACAGTGTTTTGGCATATTAAAGTTCCCTTTGAAACTTCAGCCAGGCTAAGTTGGCAAGATGTTTATAGCTTTATGGTTTCGGCATACAAGGAGGCTTGTTTGTGATCACTTGCAGGCCCTGAAGGTCTTGCGGACAGCAGAATTCGCCCCTTATGTGGTTTTCATCGCTGCGCCAACCATCACCCCAGGCATGAATGAGGTGAGATTCAGCATCTCTCTCTCTCTCTCTCTCTCTCTCTCTCTCTCTCTCTCTCTCTCTCTCTCTTTCTTTCTCTCTTTCTTTCTCTATGTTCATCAGCTTTACTAAACAGTTCATGCTGTGCACTCTTTTTTGTCTTCTTTTGTTCAGCACTGTGTTTTTGGCTCTTCTTTTTGCATGTGTTGTATGCATTGGCTTGCGTTTTGATTTCTTTTGCATTCCTTTCCACTGCACTCAGCTTCCCAGGTGGTGCAGGAAGCTGCCTGTAAGTATAACAGGAGTCCATTCCTAGTGCAGTTCTCCTGAAAATCCACTTCACCTGTCCCTCGATCACAGATACCAAGACAGTCCTAGACTCCTACATATAAAAAAAAATAAAAAACTAGAGCAACATGATCCCCCCTGTACTTCCCAGTATTCCACAGCAGAGGATCTTACGTTGTGCTTCATATAGTCTTTTTTAATGATTTCATATATGAAGATTTCATATTTATATAGCTGCACAATCTTCTCCAGCACTTCATCTTCATATAGCTGCATATCTTGTCCAACGCTTTGTGAGATCATAATCACAATCAGTGTTGGCCAACACACTTGCATTTAGAAAGAGTTTGTGGTTACAATTTATTTGAAAGCTGTCTGCATAGAAACTTCATGACACATGAATAGGACTACCATATAGGATAACATATTTCTAAAGCAATACTTGAGAATTTATAAACAGCTCATGCAGTTAATTGCAACACGGCATAAGATGTTTTATGAAGAAAATGACAGCGTATTGACATAAGAGGCCTTAAACTAAAGTGGCAGACAGTTCAGTCAGTTTATAACACTGTTATGAAGATACCATGACAGTCCTAGAATTCCATTCCCAAGTAATGGAACTTAGAGGCCGAAGCCTAGTTAAGAACACCATACGTCAGTTTTTTTTGAAGATTTTGATGTGCTTGATCTTTCATACCTATGCCGCTATGTATGAATATACATATTGTTCAAAAATCCTGCAGGAATACCCTTGGTAAAATATTGCTTAAGTAAAGGTAGAAGTTCCCTATCTGTATCTGTTTGAGGACAAATACAAAATGAATTGCTTTTCAAGCAAACATTAATAGTAAAATACTGTGAGTTGTTATTGTTATACTGTATTTTGGTAAACAGTTTCTATTAATGAGGCCTGTGTGGCTGCAGACATCACAGTTCATTGTTCATGTTTGCAGTCATGCAGGTCTCCTGAACAGAAACTGTATTTTTGTACTGTGCTCTTCCCATTTTCTTCTGTTTTTGCATATTTGTCACACTTGAATGTTTTAGATCAGAAACTACTTTTATTATTAGACAAAGAAAACCCAAGTAAACACAAAATGCTGTTTTAAATTATGATTTTGTTTATTGAAGGAAAAATGCTGTTCAGCCCTGCCTGGCCCTATGTGAAAAAGTAATTGCCCCTTTAGCTACTAAATCAACCAGTTAACCAAATTCAGTTGACTGTTGGGTTCAGTGTCACTGGCCACACCTAGACATGACTACTGCCAGACCTGTTAAATCTAAACATCACTTAAATCAAACCTGTCTGGCAATGTGAAGCAGGCTAGGAGGTCTTAAAAAGCAGCACATGCTACCACATTCTAAATATTCAAATACAGATGCAAAACAAAGTCATTGAAATCTGTTAGTCTGGAAAGAGTTACAAAGCCTTTGCTAAGTTTCTGGGACTCCAGCAAACCACAGTGAGAGCCATTATTATCCACAAATGGAGAAAACTTAGAATGGTAGTGGACCTTCCCAGGAGTGGCCGGCCTACCAAAATTTCATCAAGAGCGCATGGATGACTCATCCAGGAGTTCACAAAAGAACCCAGATGAAAATCTAAAGAACTGCAGGCCTTGCTTACCTCAGGTAAAGTCATTGTAGATGATTCCACAGTAAGGAAGACGCTGGGCAAAAATAGCATCTATGGTAGAGTTGCAAGGCGCAAACCACTGTTGACCAAAAAGAGCACAAAAGCTGGTCTTGCGTTTGCTAAAAAACATCTATATGGCCCCCAAGACTTTTGGGATAATATTTTGTGGACGGAGGAGTCAAAGGTGGAATTGTTTGGAAGACATGGGTCCTGTTACATTTGGCATAAAGCTAACACTGCATTCCACCATAAGAACATCATACCAACAGTCAAATATGGTGGTGGTAGTGTGATTTGGTCTGGGGCTGCCTTAACCTCTTGAAGGTTTGGGGGCAATTACTTTTACTTTTCATTTCCTTCACAAAACATCTTATGTCAACCTGCAATTACAGGCATGTTCATAAATACTCAAGTATTGCTTTATAAATATATTATTCAATGCTTATGCATGTGTTTTCAGGTCTCAGTGTAGGTAGCCTTCAAATTAAGTGTTATCAGATTTCCTTTGTGTCTGAACAATATATGACAAAAATAATAAACAAAAAAACAAAAACTGATGATTGACACTTTGTGACTAAAGATGGAGCATTGGTTAGTTTTACATAGCTATGACAATAATATTGTGACACATTTATCAATCATTGAATTCAGGTGTTTCATGCAGCCCCATTGCCACTGGTGTATAAAGTCAAGCACTTAGCCATGCAGTCTGCCTTTGCAAACATTTGTGAAAGAATGGGTGATTCTAAAGAGCTTCCTGATTTTGAGCATGGGACTGTAATGGGATGCCACTATTGCAAAAAATCAGTTTGTGAAATTTCTTCCCTCCTAGATATTTCATGATCAACTATGAGTGGTATTATTGAAGAGTGGAAACATTTAGGAACCACAGCAACTCGGCCACAAAGTTTCAGACCATGTAAAGTTACAGAGCAAGTCGCCAAGTGCTGAGGTGCATAGTGCATTAAAGTCGCCAACACACTGTTGACTCAATAACTGCAGGGTTCCAAACCTCCTCTGGCATTAACATCAGCACAAAAATGGTGCGCCGGGAGCTTCATGGCATGGGTTTCCATGGCTGAGCAACTGCATGCAAGCCTTACATCACCAAGCACAATGCAAAGTGTCGGATGGAGTTACGTAAAGCCCGCTGCCACTGGACTCTGGAGCAGTGGAAACATATTTTGTGGAGTGATGATTCACGTTTCTCTAGTCTGATGGACGAGTCTGGGTTTGGCGAATGCCAGGAGAACATTACCTGCCTGACTGCAGTGAGCCACCTGTAAAGTTTGGTGGAGGAGGGATAATGCTATGGGGTTGTTTATCAGGGGTAGGCATTGGCCCTTTGGTTCAACAATCAGCGTTCCAATTCTTTTCAAAGGTGTTTAGTGAGGTTGAGGTCAGGGCTCAGTGCAGACCACTGAAATTCCTCCACACCAAACTTGTCAAACCATGTCTCTATGGACTTCACTTTGTGCACAGAGGCACAGTCTTGCTGGAACAGGAGGATCTTTCTCAAACAAATTAGAAGCATATAATTGTGTCAAATGTCTTTGAATGCTGTAGCATTAACATGATCCTTCATCCGAACTAAGAGACCAAGCCCGAACCTTGAAAAATAGGCCATTATCCCTCCTCCACCAGACTTTCCTGTGGGCACTATGCATTCCAGTGGTTAGTGTTCTCCTGGCATCAGCCAAATCCAGATTTGTCCAACATACAGAGCAGAAATTTCACAGTCTGACTTGTATCAAAGGTAGAATCCTATGACAGTGCCACATTTAAAGCCACTGAGCTCTTCAGTACAACATATTTTAGTGCCACTCTCGATAAAGACTGCATGGCTGTGTGCATGACACCTGTTAGCAGTGGGTGTGGCTAAAGCACCTGAACAAATTAATTTGATGTCCACATACTTTTGGCCATATAGTGTGTCGTACATCGCTAATGTAAACTAAATGTACAAGGTGTTTACAACAATATAGGTTGGGTTGGATATGACTGTAATCGGTGCACATTTAACCCACTTCAGTAAAAGGGTTTTTTTAATAAAGCAAAAAACTGTACATGCATGCAGTATTTTGCTGTGCAGGCTTTGTCCTTTTCTGTATGTGCTCGTCTCAAGGCCTCTCTTTTTCTCCTCTGGTCCCCGCCACTCTCCTCTCTTCCTCCCTTCCTCCTTCACTCACTCTCTGTTTCTCCCCCTGCAGGATGAGTCACTCCAGCGGCTGCAGAAAGAGTCTGAGATCCTCCAGAAGACCTACACGCACTACTTCGACCTGACCATCATCAACAACGAGATAGACGAGACAATCCGGCACCTGGAGGAGGCTATAGACCTGGTGTGCACCACGGCCCAGTGGGTGCCCGTGTCCTGGGTCTACTAGCACACCCCTAAACTGTCCCAGAGTCTACACCCCACATCCCCAGTCTCTCTGCCATGCATCTCTGCACAAAAGAAAAGAAAATGAAAGGACAAAGCATCATTCCTTGAGGCGAGAAAAACCCCGCCTCCAATTTTTCAGCAAACCTCAGTGTACATGACCTTAAGTCAGTCCAATCTCGGCTCCCTTAGACGTAATGTTGTATTAAAAAAAAAAGATAATAAAATCCTGAATATTGTCATGTCCTTATAGATAGGATGCAACATTTTTTAGGCCTTTCATTTAAAGAGACAGTATCTTAAACATTGTTTTTGTTTATTGCTTGTTTTTTTCTTTGTTTTCCTCTCCCCTGTCTAAATACATGGTTCCTACTCTACAAATGCTGGTTCTGCTCTGAGCGAAAGCAAAAGAATTTTATCCATCATTAGCCTGTATGCTTCCATTATGTCAGCCCTCACGCAAAATCTCATTATCTTTTCCACACGGCCCATTTGTTTCAGTGCACTGTCTCTTATTAAACCACCGTCAGATGAGTCACCCAGATACTGTCTCTCTAAAAACAAAGAAGTACATAAATGTAGATCTGAGGTCTCATGCATGTGAACATTTCAGCATTCAGAGGCTTTTACATTCTGTCAGTGTTACCAGTGTCAGACTACTGTTATCCACAGCAGAGAACATTCCATTTGTCTGGACAAACTCTCTCCGGCCCGGGCTATCCAGTGGAGAGGGAAAAAAACAAAAAAGACCTATGCACATCCTATCGGGCGACTTTCTAAACGACGTCTTTTTACCAGCCATGAAGTGAGATGTGTTAACGGTCTCGGTTTAAGTTGTTGTGAGATCAAGAAGGGTACAAAAACAAATATATTCTGGTTTTGCCATTTCAGAAATGTGTTGTCAGAGAGTATTAATGTCGAATCAAAAGAAGAAAAAAAGAAGCGATTTTTATTCTATGTCTAACTGTTTCAGATAGAGGTGCACTCAAACCCGTTTTTGCAAAATGAACTGTGCTGCAAAAGAATCTCTAGTTTGTGCATCTGAACGATTCTGTATATGACAAACTGTTTACTCTCAGACTGCCCTGTGTAAATTCCTCTGCTGACGGCTGACCGGCTCTTCAGTATGAACAGTTTTTTAAATATATTTCCTTTTCTGTGGTGAAGAAGCTCAGTGTTGTCTGCTCTGTGCTCTGTGCTGTGCTGGCTGCCTCTGGTCATATGCTTGGCTGCTGTGTGTGTGTTGGCAGAGGAGAAGCGGATGGAAACATTTCTCCTCTGTGGCTCTTTTTTTTCTTATTCTTTTTTTTTCTGCAGCTGTGGTAGGTCACATCCTGCCTGCCTGTCTGAGCATGACTGCAAGTGGGATAAATGCCCAGGTGTGTGAGAGAGAGAGATAGAATGAGAAGGTAGAGAGTATCTGCATTGTATGTACTTAATATGGAATGCAGTTTCCACCAGACAGTGGAGAAACAATCCCTTTCTTGCCTCTTATCCTCTGTTTCTGGCAGCATGTCAAAATATTCACTTAGTATGTCGAAATAATGACTTATTTGGTCAAAATATTGACATTGGATCTCAAAATATTGACTTATTTTCCTGAAATTTGAGTTAATTTTAATAAATGATTACTCAGTTTTGACTTGCTTTGTCTAAATTATTACATTTAAAGAAAGCAAGCTTATTTAGAGAAAATAAGCCATTCTTTTGAGATACCAAGTCAAAATTTTGAGAAAACAAGTCACTTTTGAGATACTAAGTCCATATTTTGACATACTGCTGCCAGAAACTGAGAAAGAGAAAATTGCATAAGCAGTAATAGACTTCCATTACTGTGTGTGTGTGTGTGTGTGTGTGTGTGTGTGTTTGTGTGTGTGTGAGAGAGAGAGAGAGAGAAAAAGAGACAAAGAGGAAGAGAGAGTTTATCAGGTTGTCTGTCACGCACACACACAAACACACAAACACACACACACAGACACACACAAACACTAAGTCTCTAATGAGCGGCTGTGGGAGACGAGTGCTAGCAGTTCAGACATACACTACAGACCAAAAGTACAGATGCACACAGTCATTTTTAAACTTGACTGTTTACCCCAAAAACATTCCATTCCATGATTTTTGATGGAATATATTTATATTATTTCCTATATTGAAATGATTACAGATGCAATAAATCGCTGAAGCAGAATCAGGATCGAGCCTCGACAACCCCCACGTAGACATTTAGTCAAACCTTAAAGAGCCCATATCTTGCATTTTTCTTGTATTTTATTTTTTCTTCTGATGTGACATTCCTGTAAGTTTATATACCAAAAACAGTCATAATTAATTTTTACTTTTTTAATATCTCTATAACCTCTTAGAATCAAACAGGTTGTTTTTAGTAGTTATATATATATATATATATATATGCAAATGAGCTCTGTTCTGATTAGCTGCCCTGTATTGTGCCTCATACAAAAAGCAGTCTGGGTTGAAAGACTGGTTATAACTTCAGTGTGAATGGGTGGTGCTTAACTGATATAGACTGAATAGGCAGGCATATGTAAATGCATTGTTTTTGTGCCATCACAAAACAGGCTGTTTTTTGCAGTCTAGTTTCTCTACATGGACTGTATGAAATGAGGAGAGAATGGCGAATGGAGAATGTTTCTGATAGTCTTTACATAGTACTACAAGCTATTTTACTTGAAAAAAATGAAAATTCAGTTTTCTGTGATATGGGCCCTTTAATAAACATCATAACTTTTTTTGAGAAAGCCTTTTATCTTATAATGGTAACTTCCTACGACAACCAAAAAGAAATGTTCTTAAATCTAATCCATGCTAAGATAACCAGATTTTATTGGAGGTCATTGTAGGACAGTTGTATTGCTGTATTACGTTTCCACAATGTAAACTGCAGCTGGTGTTTTATAAGAGTAGTGTTGCTTCCAAATGTTTGGCCTGTTAATGTATCTATGAGCTGGATGGGCCTGTGGGTAATTCTTCTCTGCTGCTCTCTCTGGTGCAACTTCAGTCCAGCCCTTTACTGCACAAACCAGAAGAGGTGACCAAACTCTTCTCAGGAGCATCTGAATATTATAGCCAGGTGTGTTTAGTTTAGAGCTGGAAATAATCTCACTTTGAGGGTAGCTGTGCAGGACATTTCTCCTCTCGACTCTGAGAGTAATGGAAAAAATGAAACGACTGGATTTCTGTTGATGTAGTTTTCAGATGTTGACATATTTTGGAATTACTGCTGCATTAACCAAAACTTTTTTGCCTTTGTGAGCGCGAGTCCTCCAAGCGCGATCAGGTAAGATAAAGAAGGCCAACTGCTACTGTCCTCTACTGTGTCCTCCTGCCATGTGATGTTTTAGCACAAAGAGCAGCACAACAGGGCATGTTTTGGCCAAGACTGGGGTCAATAACAGTTCCTGTCCGCCTCCAGCGAATTACGTCCCATCTCCCGTTACCCTGAGCTGCATCTTTGACCGTGCCTGGACGCAGTGTTTTCTGACCCGATCCACGGCCAACTGAACAAAGAAACACACTGCCCGTTTCAATACCAGAGGTCCTGGGCGCCATCTTAAGGGCCGTTCCATGACTTTATTAGCTAAAGTGAAGGGTGTAAGATGACCTCTTGGAGGGGTGAGAGGTCAGATGAACACAAGTGACGACTTCAGCAGCAATATTTGCCTAGAAATCATTGCAATCTGACACATTAATCTTTTCAAACCTGGATATAAATAGTGGTGAACAAAGCTGTTTATGGGCCATAGCAGTAAACTACTTTAAAAGGCTTAGCATTTTAAAACTGTGACACTTGATTCGCTAGGCTTTAGGATACAACCTGCTCCATCTGTTGTACATGACTTTCTCGGTGGATGTCACAGGATACTTTACAACTAAATCACAAAAGAAATGAAATACTGATCGTTGGTACTAAAACTCAGAGAAAGCTGCTTTGGTTCTTTAGCTTCAAATGCCAAACCTGTAGTATGAAACGTGAGTGTAATCTAAGACTCTGAGCTCTGTTTTATCCCACATGTAACCAAAGTCACTAAAGTAGCTTTTTATTATTTGAGAAATATCACTAAAGTTCAGCCTTTTCTATCTCAGACGCAGGGAAACTTGTTCATGCATTTGTTGCGGAGTTGATCACTGTAATGCTCTTTTTCCTGGGCTTCCTATGAAAACAATACATCCTCTACAACTCCTAACTCAGAGTTAGAGCTCATATCACTCTCATTTTGGAAGAACTTCTGCTGCTAGTTTTTAAGGCTCTAAATGAGCCTAAAGCACCTAATTACATCACAAAATGTCTGCCTGTTTATGTTCCAGTATGTGATCTTAGATCTGCAGATACTGATCTTCTACAAATACCTTCAGTAAAATACAGAAAACATGGAGAGACTCTTTCAGTTATTAGGCTACTAAATTGTGGAACTCAATTCCACCTTTTATTAGACAGACAAGCTCTGCGCCCTTTTAAGAAACATTTAAAAATGTATCTCTAAGTTAGCATTTAATTAAAACTCTACATCTTTTGGTATTTATCTTTTTAATTTGTCATTTTCTTATATGATTTTAAATTAATAATTTCTTCTACTGCTGTTAAGCTTTATCACCTGTCTGTAAAGCACTTTGAACTGCCACCAAAAGTGATACGTAAATAAAGATTATTATTGTTATTATTTCATCACCTGGTTAGTTAGCATGCTAAAGACTGTATGGCTAACAACAACAAAAGGCATAACACCATTGCTCTTAACCAAGTTTATAACCAGACAAAGGAATTACTGACAAATGACAAAATGGTGATGTACACTATCCTACAGTAACCTAAGACTGTGCCACCTCCATAAAGGAGAAACTGTAAAGAAAGAGAACAGTAAGAGACCAAAAAATAGAACCGGCTCATTTTTTTCATGAACCTGCAGCTCTGTGTCTGTTCAGCTGACGGATTAGTTGATCCCTGATTAACCGATGGATTCATTTAATGGTAAAAATGAAAAAGTCAGTCATCCAGAAGGAGTGTTCCCCATTATGTCTTTTCCCAATTCAGACCATAATTCTTGGAATAAAAACACTGCAGTGCAACTCAGTGAGCCCTTCTAGTCCAGCGTGTGACTCGTGTATTAATTCGAGGCCTCATTCCAGGGTCAACAACACTGATCAGCAGATTAATTCACATTCACAATGCCACAGTGCTGCTGGGCTTATACCAGGAACACTAGCTTTATTGAGGGTAACACACAAAATGCATCAGTATTAGAACACACATGTATTGCAGTAGCAACTGAACAGTATTTCAAGATTAATTATGCTAAATATTTTTGAATTAGTACGAAACATATTTTTAACATGTCTCTTTAAAAAACAGTAATGCTTTCCTAAAAGGCAACATTCAGAAGGCTACATGACTCCTGCACAAGCCTTTCATGACAACTGACAAACTACCAGACATATTCCAATAAGCAGTTGTTATAAAGGCTGCTTTTGTCCATGATGTCATTTCACAGCAGTAAACGAAAGAGCCTTTCTTAAAGTCTTATGTAGCCTAATGAATGCTGCCTTTCAGTGTTACAAGTAACACTGTAGTAAACATCATCATGATATGTATCATGATATACACAGTAACCAGTCAAACACCTATGAATGTATTTATGCGTGTATGCTGGTGGAATATGCTGTGTGCGCTGTGACAGTGCTTGGAAATGACGTCACCTTTTGTTGGAGCCTTCTGTCTAAATACATTAAGTATACGACCTGTACTGTACAGCAGATATGATCGTAGGAGCAAAATGCAATGATAAAGCCATTCCATTTGGTTAGGATACAGAGCAGCTTAGAGAGCCGAGTACAGCTAAGCCTTGCGTTAAAAGAAGATTAATGCATTTATTAAAACTAGAAACGTCTACATTTACCCAGTTGAAAGAATCATATGAGAGGCAAGCATGTTACACCATCTGTTAAAATGACAGTAACAGGTTCAGCTTTATGAAACATTACCTGCTCACAAATTACATAAAATTACGCAACAAAGGGAAGCATGAAGCACGTTCCATTGTAGCTGAAGTACGTCAGTATTACCATAACTCATGTTAATGCAGTGTTTATAGTAAAGGTCCATTTTTATGTAAGGGCAGCCTCTGCAGCAGGGCTGCTAGGACTCTTTGTTCACCAAAGAGGACCAAAGTGTAATGATTGTGGTGGGGTACATGCATTTTATAACATTACACTTATTTTGCTACTTGAACACTTGAAAAATACAGTGTTAAAAGGAAAACAAGAAAGTAATAGTATAAAAATATTTTTCTCATTTGGTGAGTGGTGGACTTGGGGTAACTTTTCAGATGGCCAAATATTTAGGCAGCCCTATTTTAGATCTGTATTGTCACAGTTGTATATTCTTAAATATTACATATCACCACTGTCCAAAAAAAAAAAAAGATTTAATCCATTTTTACTTTTCTAAAAACCAAAATCAGTACTATAATACCCCTGAAATTAGCTGCACTAATTTAGTGGAAATCTTTTTTCTTTTTTTTCTTTTTTTGGGACAGTGACAGTGTCATTTTGGTGTAACACTAAGTGTACAACCCCATTTTCTATACCAACACCATAAGAGTCCAGCACATGGCCACCACTGAAACTCCTGAGTGAAGAAGTGAACCTAAAGCTCAAAGTGCATTTTTACAAGAATGCACATGTAATGCAATAGCAATTCAACATCGTTTTCCAATCTCTGTGGCAACTGTCATCACTCTATATAGTTTATTTAAGCTAGTATCTTACATATACTAAGATATCTGTAATTATCACTTTTAAAAAAAGCAAATCATTCTGAGAATACATGAAAACCAGTCATTCACCCACATCCACATGTGTTGGTGGAATTGCCTTTTTAGATTCCTTTAAACCAACTATTCAGAGATGCAGAACACCAGTTTCTCTAACAGTATCACATTTCTGAGAAAGGTTTCTTCAGAACCATAACGGCTGGCATTTCCTTGTTTTGTCGAGACATACAATCCAAGTCTCTAGGAAAAATCTCATCTACAAAGCCTTCAGCCCAAATGTTTTCTTCTCTCTTGGCAAACTGTCTCTTCTTCCATGTGCCAGACTTTCATGAGGCATTAGTAAGACTGGAAAGAGAGGCTGGAGCTTGAAGGAAGAACAGACAGGCCAGCAGGAGAGGCAGGATTTGACCAGCACTAGATGACCTGTGGGCTGAAGACAGCTGGCCCTCCGCTGGCTCCAGCAATGTGCCATTCCTTGGACCCTCTGTAGAATTCCCCATCTCCTCCCTCAGTTCCTGGTGCAGCAGTTTGGAGATCAGGCTATTAAACTTGTTCTCGGTGGTGGGGTAGTCCGGGATAGCCGTGGTCAGGTTGAGTTCTGCAGGGTCCACACAAGTGCCGTTCAGACGAGCATAGATGACCTCGCTCAGGTCCAATCCAGCTACTGAAGAAGGGGAAGTGCACGGGATGTCCCTCACCAGCTTATAGCTCTCCATCCACTCCTTCAGCCACTCTAGCTCACAGTTGCACTCCCAGGGGTTGCGGAACAAGTAGAGGCGTCCAATGAAGTAGATAGGCTGGAAGACGGAGAAAGGCAGCGTAGTCAGGTTGTTGCTGTTGAGATGCAGCGTCATTAGGCTGGTCAAATTCTCAAAAGCACCCACTTCGATGAAGGACAAGCGGTTCCGGTCCAAGTAGAGCACCTCCAGCTCCACCAGGTCACCAAACCAGCTTTTGGAGACATTGGTCAGCAAGTTACCACCCAGATTTAACATCTTGAGGCGACTGAGACCCTTGAAAGATTGCTGAGGCAACTCAGCCAACAGGTTGTCGTTCAGGTAAAAGTTTTCCAGTCGACGGAGGTCCTTAAAAGCCTCATCGTGGATGACGCTGATGCGATTCTCTTGTAGGTTGAGATACTTGAGGTTGAATAGGCCCAGCAGAGAGTTGTAGGCCACCGCTTCAATCTTGTTGCGCTCCAAGTAAATGTGTGTCAGGTTCTCCATTCCTCGTATAGCGCCTGGGATGCGCCTGAAATTGTTCTGGAAGCAGAGCAGCTCCTTCAGGGATATCTGCTCCAGGAAGATGCGGTCAGGCATGTTGAAGAGGTTGCAGTCAGAAAGGTCCAGGCGCACCAGACGTTTAAGCGAGGTGAAGGTGCGCGTGTGGAGATAGCGGATATACTCATTGTGGGCCATCTTGAGTTCCAGCAGGTTTGGTAGCCCTTTGAAAGCCCCCGGTGTGATGAAGGAGATGTTGTTGTGGTCCAAGGAGAGCGACTTGAGCGAGGGTAGAGTGCCAAAGGCTCGCTCAGCCAAGAACTTCAGGCTGTTCTTCTCCAGGTTGATGGAGGACGCTTCGCAGGGGAACTCTGTGGGAAGCTCGACCATGTTGGCGCGGTCACACAGCACTGTGCAGCTTTTCTCCTGAGTGCACGTGCAGCTGGGGGGGCAGGAGCGGGTACAGGCCCACAGAGCCACGCTGTGCGGCAGCATCAGGAAACTCACTGCAAGAAAGGGAAAAGATTCAGGTCTATGCTCTTAAATTTTAGATACCAATTAATTGTTATGTACAGTAAAGTCCACCTTCATTTATTTAATTTCCTGTCAAAGCAGCCATTAAGTGCAAGTTATTCTTTGTTCAGCACCAGGAAAAAGCAGAAAACATATTTATACAGAAGCCTAAACAGTTCTTTTTTCAGTGTTAGTGTGTCCACACTTTGCCTTTATTATAGCTTCCATTCTTTTCAGGTGACTTGCTTTCAGTTTTTCAAATATTTTTTTTTTTTTACACACTGCTGAAGTTCAGTCTTAGAAGTTGGTTGCATTTTCTGCTTCTCATGGTCCAAGTAATCTCAAACACATTCAGTGATTTTGCAGTCTGGACTCTGGGGTGGTCAGTCCATTGTTCTGAAAACAGCTTCTTGACAGCTACACATCCTTTCAGACTCATAGTGTTGAGTTGTCTTCTTACAGTGGAAGGATGGACAGAAACACCTGTGGATTTTTCGGATTTGAAGCAAGAGTGGAGCTTGATTTTCTCTCAAAGATTAAAGCTTTGTTTGTCTGATGGTTTGGTGGTCTACCAGGACTTGCACAGCCAAGGACTTAGGAGTCCCATTTTCCATATTTTAATCAGTTTTTGAACTCCCATTTTTAAAACTTTGTTTTTTTTTTTCTCTTCCTTTCCATTTTCCTCTGACTTCTGGTTTCCTTACGCAAGTGGATCATCTTATATCTAACATCCTCAGAAAAATCTCCTGAAAAATGATTAACTTTTACTGAATGGCCATATTGACTGGAAATAAAAAACAAGTGAAAGGAGGTCACTGAATTTTGCACAGTACTGTATATATATTAAAATGACTGATAATCTATTTAATTAAGATGAATACAGAGTACAACAGTGGTTCCCAAATCAGGCCCTAGAGAACCCACTGCCCTGCATATTTAGTTTCTCTGCTCTAATGCACAACTGATTAGTGAATTAACAGTCCAGTGAAAATGCAGGGAAAACACTTAAATGTGCAGAGCAGATGTGCTCGAGAAACAAGATCAGAAAAACTGAACTATGTAATATTAATAAAAACAATGAATTATTTTACAAAGCCACTAGTCTGACTCACTTATTTGCTTTCAGTCATATGGAAAATGATCCCTGATGACAAGCGACAGATCTAAATGATGTTGCTTTTTGTTATTATTCGTTGTACAGTGTCTGATTATAAAAGAGAATTCTCAGATTAATTCAACTCATTAATTAATAGAAGATAAAACAGAAGTCCTATCAGTGAAAAAATTCCAATCGCTATCCTAGACTCAAAGTTTGCAGTGATATTTATGTTGCATTTGTATGAAATACTTTCACTTCAATTCAGATTTGGGAAAATGAAAAGGCACAAGTAGGAGGACCAATAGGAACTATTTAATGTAGGAATCATTTAATTTAGGCTTTCACAGTGGAAATGACTACAGTGATTAAGAATGACCAGATTGGAGCTTACAGAAGTAGCAGGCATTGTTTGTCCCCTGGACTTTCTGTCTGGCTACAAACAGCGACTCACCTGTACTTTGTTAAATTGCTCTAAGCACGTCCCCGACACAGAACATGACCTAAAATTCAGTGACTGCGCTTCTACTCTCATCGTTTTTGTTTTCACCAAAGACTGTTGAACAGTTCTAGATTATGCAATAGCAGGTCTGTTCAATGGTGTACAGTTCTTACCAGCTACAACAGTGACAAACATCGCTGAGCCTTTTCACCTGTGGCATGTCAGGATAAAATGCCTGAAATGAAAAATATGGTCTGTTAAATTTCTAAGAAGTATATTTCATCTGGAAAGGATTACGTCTGACTACTCTGCTTCCTCCACTAGGGATGTGTCGATGTGGTAATTCTGGCTGATATCTGATATTTTCCGTGTACATATCTGTCGATTCTGATCCATTTAATAGAATCTAAAAATTGCGACCACAGCTAGATTTCACAAGGCTGCCACAATTCAGAACTGGATGCTATTGCTTTTGTCAAGGCCTTGTAGGGCCGGAGTGATTCAATATTTTTCTTAAATTTCATTGCTTTGATTGGTTGTCTATGGGTATGATGGGGATCATAACACCCCACCCCTCCCATTTGTTTGCGTTTCCATGTGTCGCATTCTAAATGCGTTACCGTGTGTGTGTCATCAAAAACCAGTAAACATTCATTAAAAAAGAAGGAAATTGGGACTAGAATCACCTGAATGTGTATTACAGACGAATCTAACATTAATAGAGGGTTAAAGGTGCAGCACAATGAATAAAACAACATATTTTAACAATTATCTGCTAATACAATGTGATTATTATATATCACTGCTGTCGGGAGAAACCCTCGCATCTCCATTTTTGTTTTTCAGTTTTTGATATAATTTGAAAAGTGTGTAAATTTCATGATTAATGGACTAAAAGAAACAGCCCAAAATTACTGGTTACATTGACTCACATTAAAAGTAAAGTAGGTTTTTTCCTTCCCCTGTGAAGTTATTATTTTTGGAGATAGGAGGTTTTCTTCCGACAACAGCGATTTGCTAGTCGCATGCATAAGGATAAAACAGAATGCAGTTATTAAATAAATGTAAAGCTGATCCAGGTGACTCTAGTCCCAATTTGAACATTTTGTAAAATATATCAGCATCATCAGATATGTACCTGGAATATACTGGATATCAGCATCAGGCCAAAATTCCCATATCGACACGCACCTAGTTTTACTACACCAGCCACTGAGCTTGTTATTACAATTTCAATAAAATTTTATAAGCTAAAAAACCCAAATAAAAGGACACAGTTATGCATCTGTCCACTGCACAAGTTTGCTTACCTGCTGATCAACTGCAATACACCTCCACCTAAAGTGAAAACCAGTAAAAACATATCCATGAGTCCACTCTGACATGTCACGCTGTCAGCACCGTGTGCTTCTAAATGAACGTCTGAATGGATTTAAAGGTCCCGAGAGGGGTGTGTACATATATGCGTATGTGTGTGTGCCCCTCTAAGCAGCACTCCCTTTTCCAAAAGCCATCACTTAATGGCAGAAAAATCCTCTAGATGGCTGTGGGATTACAGCTGGGTAAAACAGCATTCAGAGATCAGCGGTGGCTGCCTGTGCAGCCTGCATGGCGCGTACAGATTACAACCTGCAATCTTCTTACATCAGCCAGCAGACGGTGGATATGGGGTGCCACAGCAAACTTTTCAGGAAACCTTAACATCTGCCGAGTGTGCATTAATGCCTTCATTAAAGATGTTGTCACTGCCCTGCTCAGTGTCCTCATGCCTCAGCATGTGCTTTGCTCAGTAGTTTAGTGATATGGATACTACGAGGGTTTGAAATACACAAGGTTGCCAATCTCAGTCCTGGCGACCCAACACTATGCACATTTTTGTGCTTTGTCTCATCAGCACACCTGATTCAACTCATTAACTAATTAACAAGTACCTTCTTGCCTGATCAAAGGGTCACCAGGAGGCTCAGCATCTTACCTCACCTATACTGCCATTTCCCACTGACTTTAGAATAAAAAAAAATGATGGTTATCAAGCATATCACCCTACAGACTGTGGGCCAACTAGAGTTAGTTGCTGGTAGTGTCCAGAAGAAATGACTATAATCATGTCCAGCTATAATGGAAAATCCTATTTGCCTTACTGCATTCCCTTTCATCTTTATGTGAAGATGACTAGCCTTTTTATTTAGAATGCACAATCCAGGCCAAACAAGCAACATATTATGCCTTGTGGATGAGTGTCTTTTTCCAAGAGGTCAATGCTTATTTCTACACAACAACAGCAAGCCACACTCTGTTGGTATTCTTAACTAACTAGAGCTGCTGGTCTGCGTCAGTGTGGCACTGTAGCAAATTAGTTCACCCAGGTGGTACTTCATAGCTTAGCAACTGCAACTAAACGGGATGCCTCTGAAAAACTTTACCCTAACTTCCAGTAAATCTGAAAACTTGCCAAAGACCGGTGAAAAGTGTGAACTGTTACTCATTTCTCAAACCAAATACAAATGAAAGAAACTACAAAATCTATTGGATTCAGATTTTTGACTTTTGCTCTGTGACATGGTGCATTATGATGCTGGAAGTAGCAATTAGAAGATTTTGGCCATGAAGGGATGAACATGGTCAGCAACAATATTCAAACAATCTGTAGTTTTCAAGTGATGGTGAATTGTTATAAGTGTGCCAAGAAAACATTCCCCACACTATTACACCACCTCCACCAGCCTGGACTGTTGACACAAGGCAGCACGGGTTAAATGATTCAGTCTGCTGGTGCCAAATACCACCTGTGTGCCTCGACCGGAAAGTGCAGAAATTGACCAGGCTATGTTTTTCCAGGTTGCATCTGTCCACTTTTGGGGAGTCTGTGCCCACTGCAGCCTCAGCTCTATTCTTGGATGACAGAAGTGCAATCAAACATGGTCTGCTGCTGTAGCCCATCTGCCTAAAGGTTGGATGTGTAGTGCATTCTTGCATGCTTTTTTGATCACCACAATTATACAGTGACTGAGTTACCATAGCTTTTCTATCAGCTTGAACCAGTCTAGCCATTATTAGTGGACCTCTCTCATCAACATGCGTTTTATCTGTAGAACTGCTGCTCACTGGATGTTTTTAATCTTTATATGTAGAAGTATTGCAATATTATATGATTTTATGCACTAGACACTATTCATTATGTACTTTGAGAACACTACTGAATTACAAAAACGTCTTGTCAGTTCTTCTCCCGTACTGATGAAACAGATGGAAAACAGTTCTGTATTTTTAAAAGATGAAAATAAGACAAGGGACAATGAGCTCAGGAAAGAATGAATTTATATGTTGTAAACAAACTTAAGCCAATTGAATTCCAAACAATGCCAATAACTTTTAGCCACACTATTAACAGCTGCTACATGTTTTTTTCCCCATTTTTGCTACATTGAGTGTTTTAGAAAACATGCTTGGTTTTGTAAGGAATTAGCATTTCAAACTTTTATTTTGGTAAAATCATACAATAAATGCACAGCTGAGTCTTCTCATGCAGTGCATAGCTTCTACATACACTACTACATAAAGCAAATACTAAATCTAAGGTGCTCTGGGTTGTTCTCAGGAAAGCCAGCAAGCGATAAGCTTCTTTCCATCTCTGCAGGTTATGAATTCAACGCTGCAAATCCACAGTAAGACTTATTGCTAGCAGTACCGCTTGCTAACTGCTCCTCAGAAGCTCAAACCCAGAGGCACCATATATGCAAATGCAACAATAGAGAAGAACCACATGTTTAAGATTGCCATGTGCCAGACATTCACTGAAACAAAAAAAATCGTAACAGAACACAATCCAATTTTAAAAGGAAAAAATGCACATTTGGAGAAACTGGACACTTTTCGTACTGATACATTTAAGAAGTTATTAGGTCATTTGAACACTTTGTTCCAAACCTTGGCATGTCCCCATTTCCAATTGAGAGCCAATTAGTAATAATTAGTATAGAAATATGGCCTATAGGCCTTCAACAGCTGTGGATACTGACTGAGTCCAATATGTCTGAAACATTAAAAAGCTCACACTACCCCGAAGTATAGAAATTTCACGCATACAGGTGACATTCAACATTCAAGTGCCAGTGTTTTTGTACTGTCTTTTGGTCAAGTTTCTTGAAACTTTCAAAGAATCACTTTGAGGCTTATAAAAATAAATATTTCTCAAAAAATGCTTAATAAATTACACAAAACTAGCAGCAAAAGTAGAATCTAGAAATCTGTGTGCAAATAGCTAAATTCCCCACTGCTGAACCCCCTGGTCCCAAATAAATCCTGGTAAATATTGAGATCCCTTCCCCTTTTGTAAACAAGCTGCGTTTCTCTCTCTCCATTCACAATATTTGGAAGCTTGTGGACAAGCACTCAAGACGTTTATATAAAACTCCAGATGTGCAATAAAAGAACTTTGTAAAACTTGATGGGCACAACATACATGGGCCTAGACCTAACTTAAGTAGCACCATTCGTCTTTAAGTTCTCAATACTGTCAGTGCATCCACTTGAATTCATCAATTTAAAAAATGTCAAGGCACAACACACTTGAGAAGAAATCTATTGCACTTAAGTTAAATGCCTTTTTTCTCCTCCTCTCTGAAGCTTCCTTCCTCTTTAAAGGAAGCAGAAAGCTGGCTCTGCTGCCAGCGTTTAGTTAACATCAGAGCAGATGAACTCCAGGAGACAACAGCATTAAAATGTACCACCAGGAGGAAAAACCTGGTTCTCAGCCACCGCACAGTGATCCTGACCACTACGGCGCAGTGGAGCCCAATAGCTCAACAGGCTCGACTCAGAAAACCCTGTGCGTATCTGCCAATGCCTCAGAATGAACTCACAGCCATCTCCTAATGCTTCTGCCTAGGAAAAAAGGAGCCGTGCCTCCAACGCAGCTTGAAAAGAGAAAATGTAATAAAGTAAAGCCTGTGACAGAATTTGTCCTCTGCCCTTGACCAAAAAACAAAACACTAGCATGCGTAGACGACCAAAGTAGCCATGACGAGAGGCATGGCCGCTTTGGTACTATGGTCCGTTAGAAGCCATTTGAACTTTGCCTTCAAAAATTGGCAGGCATCTTTTTGTTTTTTTGTGAAGAAACATTTTTTCATCAAAACTGCTTTTGTTTCTCTAAATAATCTTCCACTTGCCCTCCGAAATGTTTCAAGAAAAAATAACAAAAAATTGCCCACTTACAGTGGCTAGCCTGTGGTACTTACTAGCTGCCATAACACTGTCAAGTCAATTAAAAGCAGTGGAGTAACAAGTTCCAGCACTGTGTGTGTATATATATATATATATATATATATATATATATATATATATATATATATATATATATATGTGTGTATTTTTTATATATATATATATATATATATATATATATATATATATATATATATATATATATATATATATATATATATAAAATTTTATTTTTTTTTAAACAACAGTGTCAGTAACTGAGTGTTTCTACCATTTTTTGTTATGAATATTCTTATCACAACTGGAATGGCCTTTTTGAAGACTACCATATCCCTAAATAGGTGCCTATCCAGGATAGAGTGAGCAAACAAAAAAACAAAAGAAAGTCAGAACTTTTTGTCCCTTAGAACAAAAGTTGTCACACAGAGGAATCAACACTTGAATCCACCGCTTCTGTGCTGGTTCCAGGAGCTGTTAGTTCTCTGGCCTGTATTGTAGGCTACATGATATCCCTGTGACAATTTGAAGTTCAAATGGAATCATGACTCATTCGAGCCACATTTTCCTGTTGTTTGCCAAGGTTTGATTAAGTACAAGCTTTTATATGCCTTTACAACAAAAAGAAATTGAGCTCTTGGCCAAGTTCATTCAGTGAAATGATGAAACAAAATTCCTGTCTAAATTTAAAGGCACAGTACATTAACATATAAATGATCCTCATTTCATTTTGTTTCTAAACAAAGAAAGAAAAGTGCAGCTGAAAACTAAGTCCAAGATTGTAGATCAAACACATAACTGGGCGTCCATGTTGTTTCCTATCTGAAAGTGATGCTCTGGTTCTGCCACGTGCCATTCTCTCTCTTTAAGCTCCATTCAGAATGCAGACAGAGAATCACAGCGTGTAATGTACTGCGAGTTCTTAAAGCTACACAGGGCGTAGAGTCTGGCTATGTTAACATGTGGTTTCCATTCAGCTAGTTTGGCATGGTGACCCACTGCACTGAGACATTTTAGTTGCCCCACCAGTCTACTTGGGTGTAGTTTCCTCCATAGTTTCCATAACTTCCCCCATAGCCATCGCTTACGAAATTCCCAAAGCCACCTGAAAGAGACAAAACATTTAAAAGCCTATATTTTGTACTTCACAAATGTTAATGATAGGGAAACGATTTTTAGATGCATTGCGATGCGGACGTGAACGATTCTGAATCGATTCACAAATGTCAAAAATCGATTTTCTACATATTTAATTTATAACGTAATGTTGACGGAATGCAAAAAGGCGGAACTTGTTCGGAAGTGCAGCGTCCGGACAGTCTGTGGCAGCACATAACAAAAACACTACTGGATGAGCGAGAAATCCGACCGGCTCCCTCTGCATTAAAGCCAGGTTAGATCAGGAGTCACAACCCAAATGTTAACATTTTGTCCTTTCAACAAAAATCAAACCACCTTGGGAGCCGCAACATTTAATGTCCAGTATGTCTCAGCATGTGACAATGTCCTCGTATAGGCTAAACAATATAAACGAAAACGCAGATTTACTTTGCTCTGCTTTAAGCTTCAGCTATAGCCACTTTCCTCATATCTCCGCCAGAAAACTTTTCCTCAGAAGTAGTTCAGTTAAATGTCTCTCAACGTTCGACTGTTTTATGAGGCTGAAGTTGCTTCTTATTCTCCAGCTTCTTGTTCGAATTTACCCGTTCCACCTTAAATTCTGACTGAGGCGCCGAAGGTAAATGCGGCACCATTTAAGGTGGAACGGAAGAATTCGAAAGAAAAGCTGACTTCACCTTCGCCACTTTTTAGTGTGTGTCAGTCTCTCGTTGCAGATTTAACGTACCAGGAAACCAACTGTGGTGCTTATAAATGCGAATAACGCATTGCTGCTATGTGACCTGCAGTCTGCACACTGGTTCTCAGTTGTTGCGAAACAGAGCTTTCGTGCTATGTCGCACACGTCCCGTTTCAAAGATACTTTACTGACACAGCAATCCCCGCCGTCTCTACAACGAGACCAAAACCGAAGTTATAAAATCACTAAAGAAAACGAGTAGAACAGCTGTAACATGTGCTGCGTGGACATCCACTGCCACTGGATCCTATTTCACCGTAACTGCGCATTTTAATCGCAGATGAGTAGCAGCAGCTTCTCGTGCTCCAAACAAGAGCACTGAATGAGAGCCTTCTAGTTCATTTGCCACATCACTTCCATTTCTTTTATTAAAAAAAGATATTGGAAGTAAATTCATTATGGATCATTACAAATACTTTGCTTTAAAAGTACTAAGTCACTTTAAGTAACTCTGTGTTAGTTATTTAGTCACTTTAAAATGTATAATGTCTCTATATTCTGTATATATTTTGCATATATTTAATATATTTCAGTTGGTTTCTTGTATTTTTATTTTTACTTATTTACTTTCTGTAGTGATTAGCTGTGCCTCACCACAAGCGTTTCAATGCATAAATGTCCTGACATGTTGTGCAAGTGACAAATAAACTTGAAACTTGATCTCGAAACTTGAGCTCACACAGTGAAAAAATAGAAATGATGTATAGAAAAGATGCATCAATAATCGTTTTATAATCACATCGCAGCCCTCTGAATCATAATCGAATCGTGAGGTGCCTAGAGATTCCCACCCCTAGTTAATGATTAATTGGATATCTGTTAATTGCCAAATGTTCAATCAGTGTTTTCGGTTAGGCTATAACAATTTAATTTCCGATAAACAACTGTTATTGGAACAGGCAGGTTTTTCATTCAACTTTAAAGGACAGTTTCTGAATTTTAAGCATGGGGATGCAAGAGAGCAACTTGCTCTGGTAGCCCCAAAGTTATTTACACTACCAACGTTAAACGTGGGGTGGGAACACAGACCTATTTTCTAATAGGTCTTGGTTCACATTTTGACTTGACGCACACACGATGTTTCCAGCGTAGATATCCTGAAGGCTTAGCGACGCAATACTATATTTGAATGCCTGCTTGCTGTTGACTCCTCGACTCCATTTTAACTGACAACGCCAGATGAAGGAAAAAATAGCAGAGGTTAATCCACCCCTTTATAGTTTACACAATATTTTGAATTGCTACAGGTCCGAGAGATTTTATGAAAAATCCATGGGTCAGCTAAGAAGAGCCGACCCGACACCCAGACTTGGAGTCGAAGAACCAACTCCTTTAGAACCTCTAAATCTCCATCACTGTCCTTAGAACAAAACAAAGCATTCAGCTAAAAAGAGTGTTGCACGAAGGAAATGTGGTCAGATGTAAATTATGTAATGTTGTGCTAATGCTAAACAAGTACAGTGATTTACCGTATCAACAGCAAAGTCCGCAAGCAAAACCCAAAGAAATAATTAGTCCTGTTTTTTGATGTTAAATGTTTGTTTTTTATGGGTCCATTCTTCTAGACATGCCAGTTAAGGATTAAATCACTAAATGACTAATAACAGGCAACTAACTAATAACGGTCTGTTATCGTTTGGAAGAATTTGCCAAAATTCACATCCCTATTGTGACACTATTTTTGTCAGAGATCCAAACAAAACAAAAAAACAAAAAACAAAACACACACACACACACACACACACACACACACACACACACACACACACACAACACACACACACACACACACAAAACACTTACCCTTATTACCTCCAAAACCACGGTTGCCTCCATGGCCTCCCGGATTGCGAGCACCACGGTTGCCAAACGTGTTGCCACCTCCAGCCATCTGACGATAATCTCTGGCCCCAAAACCTCCAGAGAACCTGCAGACCCATATAACAGAGCTTTAGAACTCGAAATACTTTAAAAGAGTTTACCACAAATTAATAAAAAGACCTAAATTAATAAGGAGCTTGCACCTCTTTGAGCGCCCACGGTTGCTGCTCTTGTGCTGGTGCTCAAAAGCCAAACTCTCTAGCCAGGAAGGAACCTCCTGTTTGGCCTCCACCAAAATGTCCAGCAGGTCTTTGGTGATGTTGCTGTTCTTGTCATTGTAGAAGGAGGTGGCCAAACCTGAACAAAAACACATGCACAATTAATAAAACACTAAATAATCTTAACATAAATAACAATCCTGTAGTCAATTGGTTTATAAACTCACCAAGGTTTCCCACACGCCCAGTGCGTCCAATGCGATGGACATATTCCTCAATGTCACTGGGCAAGTCAAAGTTTATGACATGCTTCACATTACAGATATCAAGTCCACGGGCTGCCACCTGTAACAGTGAAGAATGTGATGAGTGTCAGCACGACACAAAAAGTCTACACACTTTTGAAAGGAAACATCAGAAGTTACTCACAGCTGTGGCGACCATAATAGGGCAACGCCCAGAGCGGAACTGGTGAAGCGCCTCCTCACGATCCCTCTGAGAACGGTCACCATGGATACTGGTGCAGGCATAGCCCTCGCGATACAGGAAGTCCTCTAGAGCATCTGCACCCTTCTTAGTCTCCACGAACACCAGTGTGAGAGAATCTTTGCCTGTAGCCAGAGAGAAGGTCTGAGGTCTATATTCCACATAAGAGCAACATGCTTAAGATGAGGATCCAAAAACAAGAGAGTGCTGGGTGCTGCTCAGAAATTTTTAGAAATAAATAAATAAATAAATAAATAAATAAACAAACAACTAAAAACATGGGGGTGTGGCAAGTGCGGTTTTGCATTCGTTGACAACAATTAGGGGAAATTCCTTTTTCCTTCTTAGACGCTTTGTGTTGTATAAAAAAAGGGAAAAAACCTTAAGGAAATTTAACTGGGTTCAATGTTTGTCACAGCTTATTTACGTTCTCTCTTTAAGGGCCATCAGAGCAAAGCTCGACAAGAGGATGAGAGGTGAGCAAGTCTGGAGTGAACAAGGCCTTGCTCTGAAACGACTCCATTCACTCCACAGTTTCTTCCCAGCAGCTCTCTGCAGGAATAGCAGCAGCCTTTGCTTAGATAACGTTGGCATGGTAACACTGACCGATGAGGCTTCTCTACATGCATTTTTGTCTCAGTGCCGAGTTGCTATGGCAAGATACAGATGAGAGCTCAACAAAGCAGCCAATCACATTCATCTCTATCTGTTTAATGTTGGCTGTTGTGCTGGTAACCATGGAAACACCATATCAAGACCATTTTATTTCCTCTTGTCCATTTTAAAAAGAACATCTCTTTTGAGTTAAAGCAATAGGCTTACTTTGACAAGACACTTAAAATGACTCCGGGACCACAACTGGAAAATCTGTTACCATGGTTAGCCATGGTTTCCAGAGGCAACATCCAAAAGGATGGAAAACGGGTCACATCGCAGGCAAAATACACATACCAAAATGAAAATGATAGATTTAAGGAGTGAATGCTTATGTCGATCAGACAAGCATCCAACCAAAAATGATAAGCATATTTAAGCACATGAAGGAAAAACAAAACTTAAAACAAAGGAGCCAATGGAATGTGAATGTGTTATGTTGGACTGAAAAGTCCACACTTACCTGGTCTCTCAGGAGTTTCAGTTGCATTTTCCTGAACCTCACTTGGAATGACTTTAAATAAAACCAAATCTCCCAGTAAACTTAATGCATCTTTCACCACTCAATGTTACTACAAAGAACTTCTAAGATGCAGTATAAAGCAGGCATAATAACTTTTATAGAAAATATCCTTTAATATTCATCTACTTAAGATCCTTGAGATCCTCAAACATGGATTACATTAGACAGAAGATTACTGTCAAATTCTGCAACAAACATTGAACCTTTCAAAACCTCATTACTCCCCCTACTTAGTTTATATGGCCTCTTGATCCGGCATTCACTTTAGAGCTTTCTACTGACACAGACTACAGCCTAGGATGGAAATGTGCATTTCTACCTGTGGCATTGAGCAGGTCCAGCAAAAATGAACGCTTGTCACTCTCCTCCACCCAGACCACTTTTTGGGTGATGTTCTCTGAGGTGGAACCCACACGGCCCACAGCCAAGAATATGTATTCCTCAAGGAAGTCACGAGCCAGTATCTGCAAATAAGACAAAGTAATAAGAAATCAGAGTAGCTGTTTATTATGCGCAGACATACACAGACCGATGGAAAAACTAATGGAAATGACACAGATGGAAAGATTTATCAGCTATAGATTGGAATCGGTGAATTGGTCTAAACAAGCGACATCACATTTCAGGTGCGTAACTACCAGAAGCAACCACATTTTTATTTGAATATTTGAAAAAGAATCCAACTTCAGCCTTGTCTACATTACTAGCAGAGCAATAAGGACTTCCCTAATCTTGCCGAAGTCGCTCCAGTCTCCATCTCACAGCGAAAGATTGCTTAGCACTGCTAAAATGCAACTGATGCTAAACACCTCACAAATCATATGCACACTTTGTCCTGTGTTAAAATATTTCACTTTTTTTTTTGTCCAAAAATAAAGTTTGTGAGAATTGCAGGGATTTCAGGCCTACAGCTTGTGTGTGAAGGAGCGCTATCGCAGGTCCTTCCTTCCTGCTGCTGTTAGACTGTACAACCAGCACTGCTCCCACTAGAACCCTTCTCCACCCATTAGACCTCACACACCTACAACACACAAACTGTGAATTCATCACCATTTCCTGTGTGCAATATAATCAATACTCCATGTGGAATACCCATAAAATATAGCGTAAAGATTTTTCGCTTTTCTATTTGTAATATTTATATTGTTATGTTGGGACTCCTCACCATCCCATGTGTAATATAAATCAGTACCTCATATGCAATACTCCATGTGAAATTCGGGTAAAATATCCTTACAGTGTAAATATTTTACTTTTATTTATTTATTTATAATTTTTTGTATTCTAAATTTTGATGAACAATAGAATTTATTTTATCTTCTTTTACTTTCAATACTACTTATATTGTCTACATAGCAACAAGTAACAGTGTAAAACCCTGTTAAGTAATTAACAAGGTTAATTACTTGCTGGTTAATTCTCTTCTTGTTACTCCTTTTCTTGAGTGCCTTGCTGTCCCTTTGTTTATATAGTACTGAATTTCCCAATTGTGGGACTAAAAGGATTCTTATCTTTTGGCCATGAAGCTGTAAACTGGACCAACTTCAAGTGATTTTGCTGCCATGTTTAAGCCATCTCCAACATAAGCATATGTGCACAAGATGCTTCTGTACCTGGATTTCCTTGGGAAAGGTAGCGCTGAACATCATGGTCTGACGTACACCTTTGAGCGGCATGGTGTCCTGATCCACAATACGTCTGATCTGTGGCTCAAAACCCATGTCCAGCATTCTGTCAGCCTCATCCAGAACCAGGTAACTGGTGGGGGGAAAAGAACAGGCTGAAACACAATCTAATTGTGTTAGGGAGAAGTGAAGAGCAATTTAATTACTCAGAGGAAATTAAGAGGCTTTGTGTCTGTTTCTAGCACTCACTTGCAATAGTCTAGGCCAACCTTGCCTCGCTCCATCATGTCTACAAGACGCCCAGGTGTGGCCACCAGCAGATGGCAACCCCTCTCTAGGTCCCGGATCTGCTGGCCAATGTCAGCCCCTCCATACACCACGCAGGGGCGCACCCTGGAGCGATACGCAAACTACAAAAGAAAAACACCAGAGCATTAAAAATGAAAATGCCCGAGGGAAAATACTACTCATAGCTGCCAAGATTCAGGAACTAGTCAGACATACCTTCCTGGCTTCATCATAAATCTGTAGAGCAAGTTCTCTGGTTGGAGCCAGGACCAAAGAGATGGGATACTGCTTCCGGCGACCATATTTTCCATTCTCCTATTAAAGCAATGCTGTCAGGATTTTCACTGTGACTTCACATCATAAACAGTTATTTTGCTAAACCAATACATGCCATTTCATAAATACCACCAGCTAAAATGTATTTACATATTCATGTTATCAAAAGAAAAAGAAACTCACAGCAGAAAGATTAACAAAACTTTAGCATATAAGTACCTGACCACTGGCTTTAGAAGCCTGTAAAGCCTCTCCTGGTCCATCAGTGTAGATCTGACTCAGCACTGGGAGCAGGAACGCCGCAGTCTTCCCAGAGCCTGAGCAAACACAGCACATGAGTAATGAAGCATGGTGCCAAACAGTTTGCCACGTCCACAGCCACAGATATTCAGGTCTTCTGTTTCCCCAGATGGGAGTGCAAGGCTAAGTTCAGATTGACATCAGATGTGGCGAAAGCCCTACCTGTTTGAGCACAGGCCATTAGGTCCCTCTTGGCCTTAATGATGGGAATGGCATGCTTTTGCACGGGGGTGGGACGAGTGTAGCGGCTCAGAGTTATGTTGCCCATGATGATCTCCCCCATGTCAACATCATGGAACTGAAAAGCAACAGAATAAAACCACAATGAGCTACTGTGCTAGTCTGTTTAAATGACAGATTTGCTAAGTGAGGCAAATCATCACTGACATACTTACATTCTCAATAGGCGCAGGACAATTGTTTCCGGTGGCCTCCACCGGAATGTCATCATACCTCTCAAAGTTAATCCCTGTGTTGCTTCCAGAGAACAGCTCACTGTATGTGCGACAGACCGAAAGACAGTATATAAGAGCTTAGACAAAGTGGCAGATGGACTCTTTCAGGAAATGTGATTAGCAGTAGGCTGTGGTACGCACTGTTCCAGACGCTCATTGGGTGGGGTAGGCTTGGACCAGTCCTCTTCATCCCTGGACTCCTCTACCCACCGATTGTTTCCCATTCCACCACCGCCGCCGAAGCCCCCACGCTCATACCTGACCAAAGACATTCACTGTTAACCCACTAAATTTCCCTAAATAAAAATGTCCGTAACTTTACAGTTTAAAAGGTAAGCACGCTTAACATGTCGTTCATGTCTCCTTTACCTTCCTCTCGATCCAGTCCCTCTGTCATTAAAGAATGCAGGCTTCCCTCTGTCAGAACGTCCTCCAAAGCTAGAATAGGCATCCCTGTTCAAACCTGTGTTCCATCCTCCATCTTTGTTATCATAGCCACCAAAGTCTAAAATGTTTAGATGAATAACTGAAATGAATGACTAAAATAAATTAAAACTACAACTTTTCATTTAAAATGGTAAATGCCAGTTGTGCTTTGGTTGAAAACAGCTCAAGTAGATCTTTTTAAAAAAAATAAATAACTAAAAAAAAAAAAATAAGAATGGACAAATTACAGTCCTTACTTGTGTTATGTATGGGCTGGTTGAAGGTACCACCACCCCTGTTGCCACGGAAGCTGTCGCGGCCACCTCTGTCATTGCGAGGAGGACCACGTCCAAAGTTTGCGCCTCCATTCATGCGACTGTCATGGTATCCATTAACAAAGCCATTGCTACGACCACCATCCCATCCAGGAGAGTCTTCCGGACAGGATAGAAATAGTAGATCAGAGGAAGCAATTGAGGTGGAGTCGACAAAACTGCATATATTTGAGGGAGGGTAGCCAAAAGCCAAGCCAACACAACTGGTCTCACTGCTTCTGGCTGAGCGAGCTGTAGTTGTCAAAAAGCAAGTGAAGGCAAACTAATCTTGCTTTAGTAAAACAGTGATCAAAAAGATTAACTAGATAAACAGGTTCATACCATGGCTCAAAAGGCAGGCCCAGTTCAATGAAACACTTGCCTACAAGTAGAAATGACCCTCCTACCATTAAAAATAAAATGAAGCCAGCTAACACACCAGCGTTGCCATGCCAGAATCTCAGTCATCCCTTTACAGGCTGCTTTAAACCAAACAGAAACAATGACATTGCACAGATCTACTGCTATCCTTTCAAATTCAGGACAGTTCACAAAATGAGCTGGGTGGGGGATTCATCCAACAAAATTTTCTGAAAATCTATTACTAAATTACAATCAAATGCTTCCAAAGTTGCAAGGTCAGAGTCATTCTTGTTACATAACTGCTTTTACGAAAACCAAATAATCTATTTGCCAAATTCACAGAAATGAAACAAAACAGAAGAATCCAGTTATTAATTGTATATAAGAAAAAACAGAAATCTAACTATAGATATCTACTGATTAATCTTACTTTAATACTGCTGTGTTGTGTGGCTACGGTGTATTCTTCCCAGGGTGGCACTAATAAGAGAACAGCACAGCACTGCTACGGACAGCCAATTCAACACATTAATATACGTTTCATTAGGTGTGATGTTTTACCATGTTAGTTACCAGTTTAAAACACTTGGCAGTCATAATCTGGTTTTGAAAAGTTGCCAGACAGCTGCGCTGCTCTCTCTTTGCTCTGTCATGAGGAGCCAATCAGCAGCTGCATTGAAAGTGGCGTTTTTCCACTGGGCAAATACAGTACAGTAACAGACCCCTGAGCAGGCGTTTTGCTGTGTAGAGGTATCAAGCATACTGGTCTGAGACATATATAAATAATGCAATCAAGAGCAATCTTCACATAATTGTCACAACCTGTCAGGCAACCTAAAAAAAAAAACAAAAAAAAACCACCACACACACACACACACACACACACACACACACACACTACCTAAGTAGTAATAATCACTGTCTGTAACTCACATAAAAAGTTGTTGCCACTGTTTTTTTGTGATTACTGTTAATAATAGCCTAACATAAGACATTATGTGACCATCACAGAACTTCCAGAGAATTCTTCCTAATTTCACAACTGATCTGCGAGGAGATGCAGGTACTCAACCACGTTAGAGACAGTTCTGACCTGGGAGTAGAAACTGTACCGTACTGCACTGCCCAGTAGAACTAAGTCAAATGACCACAAGTTTGTCAGAGCAACATGTAGGCTTATCTCCAAGTGCTGAACATCAGCCTCGCCCAAGGACATTTACTGTGGCATTCCCTTACAGCAGTGAATTGAATTTTTGCATGTGAAGCAATGGTATGATACACTATGCTACCCATTTGAGACAGTCCAAAATAAGGAACATCTGCACCTCCAGCATCAATGCATGCAAGCTATAAATATGAAATTTAGTTGTAATTGCCAGCTGTAACCCAATATCGAGCTGATAATATTTAAATACCGCTATTTATTTCACAGATATCAGCTGTCGATGTACTTTGCCTTCTTAGTGGTCACAAATTTACCTTCCATTTTTTTTATAACAACCATTTTACATACTCTGGTGCTCAGTAGTACCAATATAATACAGTCTGTGCATTCTGTAAACTGCATTTTAGGACCCCAGCCCTATCCACTAAGCATTGGAACAATCCTGAAAGGTTTCAGCTCCGACCTGGGTAACAATCTGCTGGCCAAAAACAGCCATGAAAGGGCATGCCATACCACTGGCAGCTGCTCTAACATTTACCACAGCGGTCAGCCCAGCTGAGCACACTGGCTGCGTCGTCATTCCCATCGGTGGTTACACTGCTGTCAGTGCGCACAGGAGAGGCTGCAAGTGACACACACAGGTATTAGCTGGAGCCTAAACCATCAGTCCCCCAAAACTCTCCACTTCAGATTCACATCAGCACTGTCACACAAACGTGCCACTGAGCAGGCAAACACTATCCTCACTGCAGACAAATGGAAAATGCTGATAGGGCTATGTGGAACATTCTTCCAAACTTGGTCTAAGAGAGCATCAGCAAGCCTAGGTCCAGACAACAGGATTTTTCTGACTGGCAAAAAGCAGTTACAGTGCACAGCATTCCTCTAAGAATGCACCAAAACACAATTCCAACAAAGCAGCTTGAAGATGCAACAGAAGGCAAAGTGTGTAATAACTTTTATCCAAGTAAACAATTAATTCCAATAATCTCCCATCAATATGTACTTGAACCAAATCTAGATACGCTACAGCAACATATAGAATAAGAAAAACTTTTGTGCTGCTGGAGTGAACAGACTCCCCAATTACAGATCATTATTTTTCCAAATGCACTATTGTAGGGATGCACCAATACGACCCCCTCCCCCCTTTTCAGAACAACAGATTAGTTAAGAATTTTAGATTGTGTTTACATGCACCTTACAATCCGATCATAATCAGATTTCTGTAGTGGTCTGAATATTCAAGTGGTCATGTTAACAGCATACTTAACAATTTGTAGATCGGAGTGATGTCTAGAAATCTGATTAAGAAATCTGATAAGGAGAGCTGGATTTTAGCTCAGTAATCAGATTTTTCTGCACATACATACCCTTACTCTGATTTCTTTCAGATTTCTCTGTCTGTGCATACAACGACATGCTTGACAAAATTAAGGACTTCAATATTCTTCATATTCTAGATGATGCATGTCTTGTGAGTTTATAGGCCAGTCGCAAAGCAGAAATCCAATTACTGCCTGACTCACGCTGACCTTGAGTTTCAAATTATCTAATTACTCTAGCGCATGTAAACACAATCAAATTACTGACAAATTCTGATTTTCTGCCGTTATCGGATTATTATGTGCATGTAAACACACTCGTTGTTTTCAATAATATAAAACCAATTTGGTATAAAGTGATACTAGTACGCCAGACCTTTAAAACATTTGTTTCAAATAATCAGTAGGATACTAAGAAGCTGTGAACAAAAATGAAGACATTTTAGATGCCTTCAGAAATGATAAACTAATTTTTAGAGAAGTCTAAAATTAATGAGGAAGACAACAAAAATTTAAGTTATAATAAAATGAATGTCCAGAACGATTTTCAGCATTTCAGAAATGATCTAAAAGCTGGAGCTCTGAAGAAAGACAACTTTAACGTAAACGGGTAATTATTGTATACAATTTAATACATGCAAGACCTACTTGAAATATTAAATAACATCTAATAAAACAGCTAAATATTGAATAAAACAGAATCCAGGCATGTTCTACTGCAGACGGCTTGCAATGATCAATAAAAACAAATTACACAGAATTTTATCATTACTAAAAAAAATAAATATTTATCTTTGATTTAGGGCAGGGTTGGCCTACAGTGGCCATCTGAAAATAGCAGTAATTAGCTTCTGAACTAAGCCAAATCTGAAATAGATGTCAAGGGTACAACTCAGTGTCCCAGTCAGTGTGGGGGTAGTAATTGGTACATTTTGTTTTCCTGCAGTTAAAGACACCATTAGAAAAGCACCTTAACTTCAAATACATTAATAGAAAGTACACATGTATTGCAAGCAGCAGAAAGAAAACCTACTTACTACAATGCTGTCATGAATGAAGTGATTAGATACTGATTATATTGAGCAATGCTATTCCCCCACCTTCCTTTCATAACTACAGTCCAGTTCAAGGCCAGCATACAGCTATGCCATATTTGCATACGTGATGTCAGAACATTCACATTACTTTAGTAGAAACAAATGAAGTTACACAGTAAGGCATGCGGCAAAAGCAAGCTTTCATATCACAACATTAGAGCATAAATTAGTTTGCTAACTTCTCTCTCTCACAAAGTCATAATGATGTGACAGTTCACTGAGAACAGCATCAGTCAGCTCTATGGGGAGTTCACTGCACAAGTCCCATGCAGATACATGGAGGTATACCACATCTCTCTGGCCAGCCACCACTGTAGGTGTGATAGAAGGCAAGTTCCTGGGAAGGGTATCTCGGGTAACCTGAGCAGAGGTATAGGGTACTTAACAACCACTTCCTTTACGGTGAGAGAAATGCAGGAGAATGGAGGCTTAATCTAATAGTTACCAGTCCTAAAGTCATCCCATCCAGTATGAAAGTTATTTCTGTTTCTGGGGTTTCTCTCAGGATGCCAACTTTGAGGATACTGTTTAGGAGAAACTTGTGGAACAGTTTCACATCGTAAAAAAAAGGTGCCTGCCTTTTAAAAAGATGGCAACAAGTGGTAAATTGTGCATGTACAGCGTCTACCCTCCCCGCACATGCATAGTCTTGACTTGAAAATAAGAGAGAAAAAGGACACGAACACAAACAACCAGAACTGCTAGCTAATTATGGAGAGCAGTCGTAAGTCAGACAAAGCACACAGAGGTTTGGCTACTTCTCCAACAAAAACAGTGAACTGTGGCAAAGACTCATTTAGCTTGATCTGTTCAAAGTGTTAAGATTACTGAAAGTAAGCACAGTAAGCTTTGAGCTTTTTATTTTTGCCCCTATATATTGGCTCTACATATGTAATTCAACTTTCATGCATTTAGGAATGCAGAGCACCCTCAGCAAAAGCTGACAAAACAAACTTACAGCTCAGTACTGGTGGCATTGAATAACCGCTCTGTCTACCAGAGGAATAAGCATTTCCTGCTGTGAAAAAATGAAAATGCAGTCAAAGTAAGAAAAATAATGCAAAGACCAATATAAAAACCAGTTGTATAGGACTTTCAAACAAGTCTCTGTTTAAAATTTCTTTACAGTGATGTTAGAGCATTAGCCATAAGACTGGCTAATCTTCAAAATCAATTAGCTTCCCAAAACAAAAATGTATGCATATGCAGCTCTCAGTTCATATTAAAGTGTGAATTAAAATCACAGCAAAACCATGCTGATTAATTTAATTCAGCAAATCAAAAGTAGAAGCCTATGACAAAAAAATAAACAACAAAAAAAACAAGCTAAATAACTGCAATCTAAAAGGCCAAATCAGCAAGGTCTATGTAAACTGATATGAAAGCTTGTTAATGAAACAGCTGTTGACAGTGGTCTTTTGATGCTCATGATCCTTATAATGTACCTTTCATACATTCTATAAAACATACTGTATTAGCTTACATTTAAAATGGACCTAAACTGCAAAGACAATGTTCTAAGAGATTAAAAAGTTAACAAAATGTTAGTTATGTTACTAAAATGCCAGAGCTTAAGTCTATAGAACCAAATATTTTTAATTTGATGCCAGAAAAGAGTTCTTTAAAAAGGAGGAAATGGTTGTTGATACCACCTAAATAAAAACACTTACCATTTTTACCAGCATCTTTGTTTCTCAAGTGAGGTGGAATGTAACGTTCTGGGGGGGAAGAGAGAGAGAAAAAAAGCCAAGCACATTACTTTTCAGACAATATCTGCACTGCACTAAAACCAGCTAATTGTGAAATGCATATGCACTTATTGCAGCCATATTACTGCACAAATGGTGTCTATCTTTATTCATATGGCATATTAGTTATATTTTGTGTTTGTTAAGGAGAAACATTGCTTTTAAATGTACACAGTTAATATACGTCTCTGTCCGTGCAACCTGAGACAAGCTTTCAAATGGGAAACTTACTGCCAGTGCCTCCACCCTGCCCGTCAGCAGAGTTCAAGTCTAGGGCAGAGAGCTAGAAAAGACAAAGTCCACGAAAAGTTACTATACAAAGCGGCACATTCCAGCTATAAATCAACTTTTAGTCTGCAGCAATTGCAAAGCGCAGCTAAAGCCTGTGTCTGCATGCACTGGATCAGGAATCCATGATCTTGTATCTGCATCGCTCTCTGCACACGTGAGAGAATCACACGACACTGTCCGTCGTAGCCAAAAGCATGAACCTCACTAAAACCATGATCTGACTGATTCAGACACGACTGCTAGCTATTTTGTAAACAACAACTGTACCACGGACTAGCGGGACTGTACCATGTTGGGAATACTGTGCAAGCGTGATCTGATGGATATGAATGTGCTGTAAAATCAACCAGTCAGTGCACTGACTTGTTGGTTGATCACAGCCGACCGCATCCTACTGAGCATCTGTCAATTCCGGCACCTTGGATTACAGTGTTGACACTGATCAGGTGACGTCCCACGGGGTCGAAAACCGACTCCATAAACAATGCATTCGCCTTTGAAATAAATATGCATGAACAAAAAAATTGTGGCCCATTCAGAGTCCGTTGTAACATTTGATGAGGCGAACAAAATGTCCGACGAACGGTGGTGGTGGCGACAAGATGTTGGGGGAGGGGGTGAACTCAGCAGCAGCAGCCTGTCGCACTGATCCTCCTCGCCGTAAAACAACAGAGACATGCCAGACAGCTAACCAGCTTCAGTAATGACCCGCGGACCGACTCTGGCCCCCTGCGACAACCCTTTCGTGCTGCGGCCGTTGCTGATTTTAAGTTAGCCAGCCACTCTTGGCAAAAGTGGCCCACTCGTTCCTGCCTGGGCCTCAACTAGAACAGAGACAGGACTGGTGAAGCCTAAGCGAAGCTTTATTTAGCTTTGGACAAACGTGCGATGCTCCACCATTAACGAAGCTGAAATCAGCTTCCTATTCGCCAGCTTTTTGTTCAAAATTTCACGTTCCACCTTAAATGGTGCAGTAGTTAGTTATTATTATAACGCCCAAGAGGCCATAATGTATCTGCTGCACCATTTAAGGTGGAACAGGAAAATCCAAACAGAAAGCTGGCGAATAGGAAGCAAATTTCAGTCTCGTCCCACATTATTATGTTGTTGTCAAGCTGCGCAGCAAGTTAGCACGCAAACAATAAAGCTGCCTGCTTCACCTCTCAGCTCATTAACTTTTCTCTCATGGATAACACCAGTATAAACTGCACGGTAACAACGTCAACCTGACAACTGATGACACCTTGGCGAGAAAGCTAGCTAGCCTGCTGTTCAACGCCACTAAACCAAATATGCTAGCTAGATAACTTAAACGATGACCCAAGTCGATGCAAATACAGCACGCCAAGACATACAGTTAGGTGCTAAGAAACATGATACTGCTGCTTCGCTAAGCTAGAGACGACCTGCGGAGAATTAAAATAAAGAAGTTAACTTATTAGGTAATTAAATTTTCTTTCGAGGTTACAGGACGTACAGCAAACCGCTTACCTGCTGATCTAGACCGTGTGAACTGTCGACGACCACATGACTCATAACTAAAGAAAATTAGTGAGGATTACTCCTTCTCAGAGAAGATTTTCTTTGTTAGCAAGCCAGCTAAGCTAGCCGAGGGATTACAGCCAAGTCTCCTTTACAAACGACGTCACTCGTCCTCTTCTTTCAGTTTATTCTAAAGCGAACTGCACCGATACCCGATAAAACAGGCTTAACTGAATGTTTTCACTACTCTTTTTCCTACGCACAGCTTTACTTAGGCAATAAAGCTAATAAAAAATGAAACCCTAGCCTAAAGTTTATCGATATCTATCTGTAACCGGCTCGTCGTCCACCAGCGGCGCCTCGCGACGTTCTGTTCGCGGAACGCAGCACCGCGAGATTTCATTGGTTGCGGCAGCACACGGCAACGCGAAATATCGCGAGACTTCTTTTCTCCAGCAAGTGTGATGTGGGGAAGGCCTGCTGTTTATAACGCAAAACAGACATAATATAATACGTCAGAAAACATTTAACATACAAATACACATATCATACAACAAACAACAGCAGTCGCGATTACAACTTCGACTTTTTTCATATCACACTGGCTCTTATGAACATGTTTCGAATGATTCACTCGAACCGATTCACAAGTCCAACTGAATCAACCTGTTCTGTGGCGTCTACGCAATGTTTACATCTGTGCTGTGGGCTAATGGCTTCTCTTAACATTCGAACAGTAATATTTCGTAATCACTATCACTTGTAACATATTAAAAGCAGTATCTTTGAATTTGCAAACATTACTATCTGCAGACAATTTACCCTTGTCTTTCTGTAGTGTTTGTGAATAACGTTTGATTCATTGATTCAGACAGTTCAAAAGAATCAGTTCGATAAACTGACTCGAACTTCCCCTCACTAATCTAAATAACAATAAACTGCACTAAGAATCGCTACTGTTAGTTATATTTGATATAGTGGTAATTGCATGTCTTAAGTTGTAATATTTATTACACAAATGATTACAAGATAGTCTTTGGATTTAAGTCCACAGCAGCAGTTTTCCTTGTTCTTTCATGACCTCATTTACAGTCCTGCTGAAGCTGTTGTAGAGCAGAATAAGAATTTCAGTAAGAGCACTCACAGAAATGAATTATTCAAATAGAAGTAAATATAAAACAAACTGAAAAGTACAAGGTCAAAAACATTCTCAGTTAATGTGTTATACATAGAACTACAGTATTGCTTCTTACTACATTCAGCATTTGTCTGTACAGGAACATTTTAGTTTAAGAATGTTGTGCTGTGATTGCAAATTGCACAACCTTCATCTAATATTATACGTACACCCTGCTGAAAAAAACAACACAAACCAGCATAAGTGCTTCTGCTCAGGCTACCTTGCAGGAACTTGCCTTCTGTCACACCTACAGTGTTGACTGGTCTATGCAGGTTTATGCTGGTCTGGTGCTATTTTAGCTGGTCACCCAGCATGGTTATGCTGGTTGAACAGCATACCAGCATCCAAAGCCCAACATATGCTAGTTTTGCTGATGACCAGCATATCAACTTCCATTGCTGCTGACTAGCATACCAGCATCCAAAACACAAAATATGGTGTTGCTGGTTACGAGCCATGCTGGTCTTTCCTATTTTTTCTAGTAGGGCACTCACCGAGCACTTCATTAGGACCACTATAGTAATACTGGATGTGGCCTCCTTTTCCTTTCTTAAAACAGACTCAATTCTTCAATTCTACTGGGAGTAGCCATTAGAAAATGGATAAACTGTAGCCATGAAGGGATGCATATGGTCAGCATCAATACTCAAACAGGCTGTGGTATTCAAGCGATGGTTAATTGGCCCAAGGTGTGCCAAGAAAACATTCCCCACACCATTACACCACCTCTGCCAGCCTGGACTATTGACACAAGGCAGGTTGGGTCCATGAAGTCATGCTGTTGGTGCCAAATTCTGACCCTACTATCTGTGTACCTCAGCAGAAGATTCATCAAACCAGGCTTCATTCTTCCAGTCTTCAACTGTCCAGTTTTGGTGAGCCTATGCCCACAGCAGCCTTATCTTTCTGTTCTTGGCTGACAGAAGTGGAACCTAATGTGGTCTCCTGCTGTTGTAGCCCATTCACCACAAATTTCAACATGTTGTGCATTCTGTGTTTTCTGCTGTAGCTTTTCTGGCAGCTCAACCCAGTCTGGCTTTTCTTCATTGACCTCTCTCATCAACAAGGCATTTCCGTCTGCAGAACTGCCGCTTACTGAATGTTTTTTCTTTATTGCTCCATTCTGTGTAAACAGACTGTTGTGCATGAAAATCTCAGGAGATCAGCAGTCATAGAAATACTCAAACCAGCTCATCTGGCATTAACTATTATGCCCCGATCAAAATCATTGTTTCTGACTGTTTATCTACAAGGTGATCCAACAAGGTAAGAGAGCCTAATAGAGTGGACAGTGAGTGGACACAATATTTAAAAACTCCAGCAGCACTGCTGTGTCTGATCCACTTGTACCAGTGCAACACACACTAACACACCACCACCATGTCAGTGTCACTGCAGTGCTGAGAATGATCCACCACCCAAATAATACCTACTCTGTAGTGGTCCTGTGGAGGTCCTGACCACTGAAGAACAGGGTTACAGGGGGTGAAGTACACAGAGATACTGAGGGACTACAGTCAGTAATTGTAGCACTACAAAGTGCACCTTTATGGTGAGTGGAGCTGAAAAAATGAACAAACAGTGTACATACAAGGATGTGGTTTAAATGTTATGGCTGATCAGTGTAGGCTATACAGATAACCCGCATAATATATTTCTGAAAATATTTCTGAACAAACCTATATTTGTTTCAGAGAAAAAACACCTTTAGTACAACATCAAACTGATGGTAGACTCTGTGTGGAGAAAGCCTGGAGAAGAATTCCAATCAGACTGTACTAAAGGTATGGTCAAGCGTAGCAGTGGAAACAGGCCGTTTTCTTACAGTGGTGTTTGTGAGCTTGTGTTCATTGATGGGATCATGAACTCAAAGGTATACTATGGCATTTTGGATGAAAATATGCAGAGGCCTGCAAGGAAACTGCTCAAACTATTATGATTTGAAATGCATCAGTTGCCTTATGGGAAAATACTTTGCCAAAATGAAAGTAACAGCTTTAGAATGGTATGTTTAAAATAAATGCCAGTTGGTTTTACATTTTCTTTCCCAACACATTGAATACTTTTTTTTTTTAGTGTAGCACAAATGTATGTCATACCGGGCCACCACAGGTTTTAGGAAAAGGTCTTTAAAAAACCATAATCTGACAGTGCCCTCTACTGGCTATTATACTTGTCACTATATTTGTTAAATTTCTACCCCACCAGGAGATTGGTCTCCACACTGAGGGCCACTGTGGTGATAGGGGTCCCAAAATATAATCACTATTATGTCCATACACTGCAGACTGGGCCTTATAGATCATGTACTCTAAAAAAGTTTGGAATGACTTTTGAATTATTAGCCTGCAGGTCTATTAGTGCAAATTCAGTTAATGTCTGACTGAAAATAAAGGTGTAAAACCTGTTGCACTGGTCCTCTAGGTTTTTGTGTAATCAATTAAATGCTCAGATATATTAATAGAGCAGGAGCTGTGGGTCCAGACCACATTTTATAGCCAACACTTTTTTTAATGAACTGTATTTATTTACACACAAGCATAATACTGTTTGTCTACAAATAAAAACTCATTCTTCTTTATTTAGCGGCCTAATAAACATTATGGGTCATTTTCCCAGACAGGGATTGAGCCTAGTGCTGGACTACACCGCATTCTGAATGGAGATTTTCCACTGGAAGAAAAAAGTAGTTCAGGACTAGGCTTAATGTCTGTCCAGGAAACTGGCCTTAATTGTCCAAAACTATTTAATCATCCTTCTGACGGTTGTACCATATAGCAGTGTTCTGAAAGCAGGTAAACAACTCACAGCGTGAGCTACCAATGCTAAAGTGAAGCCTCCACACGGCGGGGTTAGCCTTGAATACAGTCTCCCAGTGAGTACAATGTCTATATCCTCCTGTACGTGCTCTGTAACCACATTTTATCTGTAGTGTACAATAAAATATACGTTTTTTCTAATTTTCTAAAATTAGCTTACCACTTTGTGGTGAAAAATAAATGTGCCACTTTCGTCATGGCCTCTTTTCACCATTCATATTTTTTGCACATATGATTTAAGCATTTAGTTAGAAAAACTGTTCTGGCTCAACGACATAAAACTGTTTTATTGTGCTTTCCATACATTAAGCAGACTTTTTAGCCCCTCAGTCTCCACCTATGGAGGTAAATTGTAATATCTGCAGTAACGCCACTTTCAGCTAAATTGTGTATTGTTAGAGTTCCTGACATGATGAATTGCGGCTGTTAAAGGCCAGTGTAGTTTAATAAGCGCTGTTCTAACAGCAGCCACTAGGGGCGCTCTGCCCTCCTCCTCCTCCTCTCCGGAAGAAATTCTCTCGCTCCCCCTTGCGCTTCCTTTTCCCCCCTCAGCGGAGTTTAGGTATGAGCGCGGATTTGTTTTCTCTCCGTTTCATCCACATAAAATCTTGGATTAAATGTAACCATCCACTTTTAAAATCCATTTATAGACGCTCACACGACGTTTATGTCCCATTTCACGCTCCTCTGTTTTTACTTGTTAGTGAATTTATATGTGAAATTCGGTGTTAAGTGATGGAGTCTTAACTGCAGGCGTATCCAGGCCTCGCCGTGTGTGTACATGAGCCGCCGGCGCCGGATAAACAGAGTTTTGTGTTTTAAGTCGTTATGTGTTTTTAGTACAGCACATTTAGCTCAAACTTTGAAAAGAGTTTTTAGTTCTAGTTGGTACTTAATTGTCAGTTTTTTGGCAGGCCGTCTGTAGACAAGTTAGCTAGCATAGTAGCTAACCAACTCTGCTGTGTAACGTTAGTTTGATCTTGGGCGTTTGTCGTGACTGACTGTTCAGTCCCTGAGTTTTGTCCTGAAGTTGGTGAGCTAAGCTAGTGGGATGATAAACTTCTAGGTTTCTACCCTTTAGAGATAGAAACCAAGTGCAAATGCCATGTACAGCTAAGCTAGCCATTCCCTTTTGGTGTCTACGTTCGAGCGCTGTCAGGCTGCAAGAGTGCACAATACGTGTGGAGTTAGAAACGTTGAGATGTGGTTTATAAGGAAGGTCGTAGTATCGACGCAAGTTAGTCTGCCACGATAACCAGGTGGTCTCCTACACAAGTGTTTGATTCCTTGCTGTCTTGTTTTTGTAGAACCCACAATGGGACGTGTGATCAGGGCTCAGAGGAAAGGTGCGGGCTCCGTCTTCAAAGCCCATGTAAAGCACAGGAAAGGTGCCGCTAAACTCCGACACATTGACTTCGCTGAACGCCATGGCTACATAAAGGGAATCGTGAAGGTAAAGACGTCTTAAGATGTGTCTAAGACAGCGATTTATCTTTAAGTGGCCTTTGTTACTGACTTAAATCTAAACTAGAACCTTAATCCTGCCTCTTTTTCTTCAGGACATCATTCACGATCCTGGCCGTGGAGCTCCCCTGGCCAAGGTGGTATTCCGTGACCCTTACAGGTTTAAGAAGAGGACTGAGTTGTTCATTGCAGCTGAAGGCATCCATACTGGACAGTTCGTTTTCTGTGGCAAGAAAGGTAAACGGGGCTCTCATGTTTTCAGTATGGCTTGTGTGTTTTGGATCACCTGCTGCATTTTTGTAATGCTTTTTAGAAGCACTGTTGTTGAATAAATAATGCTCTGAATGACTTCCAGCCCAGCTGAACATTGGCAATGTGTTGCCTGTTGGTGCCATGCCTGAGGGTACCATCATCTGCTGTCTGGAGGAGAAGCCTGGTGACAGGGGTAAGCTGGCCCGTGCATCTGGAAACTATGCCACTGTCATCTCCCACAACCCTGAGACCAAGAAGTCCAGAGTCAAGCTCCCCTCTGGAGCCAAGAAAGTCATCTCCTCAGCTAACAGAGCTGTTGTTGGTAAGTAATCTTAGGCTATGTTAACATGACAGTCAAATAGAAATTGTTTCTTGATTCATGTAATTTGAGAAGACTGGCCACAGTGTCATCTGCAAGCGATCAGGTCGGATTTGCTTGCCCAGTCATCACCCACCTATCTGTATCAACAATTATGTAGATTGATGCGGATGCAGGAGAGATGGCGATGCAGCTGCATCTCGTCGCCCTTCGAACTCTTCAAAATTCTCCGGCATAAGCATGAATCTTTGACGCTTTTTTTGAATCTCAGCATTTCTGTCACTCAGGATTTGACATAGTCGTTATTTGTTGCGTTGTGAGTGATGCAAAAAACTTTAAAACCCAGTATGAGCAGCCAGAGCGTCCAGACTGAGACACATCTGTAAAAATCTGATTGGAATCCCCTTTCCAACCACCTCTGTATGTGGTTTGGATCTGATTTGCAAAAATTGGATTTCATGTGGTGTTTTCCTCTCCAGACTATCAAAAAATCAATCTGGTAATGCCAAAAATTTGAGTTGGCAGTCTGTACAAGCCTTAGGGATGGCAGTGTTTATTGTAAATTGTTACTGAAACAGCAATATAGATCAGTATGTTCTTTGATCCTTGGGTTAGAATTAATCTTGCTCAGTTTAGTTAATAAGAAAGGACCCCTAACGCAGCCCATTTTGTGTGGGCAAGCTGTTAGTTTAAGGCATTTTTGTTTGGTTGCACTAGTTATCATAAACATAAGAGTTGGGGAACCATGCTTTAATGTGGGAAAGTGGTGCATGAACTCTTAATTTTACTTTCAGGTACTTTGAAGGGGTGATAAAACTAATGTTCAGTAGTATCTGAGTGTCAGGTTACACAATTTATATTGATAAATTTGCTTTTTAGCTTCTACATCATAGCAAGTTTGAGATGTGGTCTGGTGATTAAGATTCTAATTGTTTGGATTAGGTATGTGCATCGGTGGCCAAATACTTGGTTAACCAACAGGTCGAGGCGGGTGTTCATATTTGAGTAGTGAATAACTCTAGACGTTGGGGGAAAAAAAATCAGATTTGGCGATGTTCTGTCTTTGAAAGCGTTGGAAAGCTAGACTTCTGTATTGTAGTTAATGTGATGCTGAACAGAATCAGAATGGAGGGTCACAAGAAGAGGGCACAAATAGCTGTAACTGCTGTCATTGCCCTAGCTAAAATGTAATTCAGTTCAGCAGAGTAAATATCTGAACTAACGGTCAAAAGAGCAGAAAGGGACCTACTGACCATCAGCAGATTTATTTACAGTACATTTTACGTTGCATGTGTTAAATCTGAGCAAATGGGAAAACCATGTTGGTTCCTGGATAGCAGCATGTGCTGATTGAAGAAATCTTGCAGTGCAGAATTTGTTTGAAACATCAATATTGACCACAGTTAACGTGTTAACCTTAATATTTGTCAAACCTAATGCACACCCTTAGTTTGAACTACAGAAATATTCATGGTGACAACCTTTTCAATTTAATTCGTGCTAATCCTATAAGCATGTTATATTTGACGTATGTGCTGTACTGTATTTTTAGATGAAACTGTAACACTGCCTTTTTAGGTCCACATTAAACTCCTATACCACTATGTTGCTTAGAAGGCAAGACCATGACTGCTTTGACATCTGAGGCACTCCAGTGTGTTAAAAAATACTTTGATATTCTATTATAGTTCTTTCTTCATTCTTACATCTTTTCAGAATAGAGCAAAGGCATTGAACTCCAGCACTGGAGGAGAATATTTCAAATTTTCCTTCTTCATTAACAGATTCAACCCATCAGAGCATTTTAACATCAACCTGAGCTGAATTAGAGGTCTGTGCAGGTGTAGCACTACTTTGCGGCTGCAGCACTGGATGTTCTCAACCTTGAGGCTCTTGGTTTCTGAAAAGACATGATATGAGAGATTAGTTTTACATAAAAAGTCTGCAGTGTGCAAAGAGATCAACACTGACTGTACGTCTGTGTGCTTGCTGAAAAGGTATTGTTGCTGGTGGTGGTCGTATCGACAAACCCATCCTGAAGGCAGGACGTGCCTACCACAAGTACAAGGTCAAGAGGAACTGCTGGCCTCGTGTCCGTGGTGTGGCTATGAATGTAAGTAGTGGAGACTGTTGTTCATGTCCCCAGTCTGTAGAGAACTTTTTTTTTTTTTCCCCTTTTCCTATTCCCCTTTTCACCCTCAGTTGCTTTGTGTATTTAGATGAGCAGTGGTGATAACACATGAATACTGGCTGTAGCATCCTTTTCAGAAGATGAATAATTTAGGATTTGCTGCCATGTTTAAGTTGAAGAGTGAATGAATAATAGGGAAGCCTTCAGTGACTTTGTTTTTAACGATTTGTTAAGATTAGGAGCCATAGCTGGGATTAAGTTTCTGTAATATTGCACTGACCTGCTTAATTTCTTTCTACAGCCTGTTGAGCATCCCTTCGGTGGTGGTAACCATCAGCACATTGGCAAACCCTCAACTATCAGGAGGGATGCGCCCGCTGGACGCAAGGTCGGTCTCATCGCTGCTCGTCGTACTGGCAGACTGCGCGGAACAAAGACCGTCCAGGACAAAGAAAACTAAAGAGTGTCTTCATAATAAAATGTGTCCCAAGAAGTCTGGCATCTTTTAAGTCTTGTTTTATCTCAAGTGGAAGATTAGTTACAGGAAAGTTAATGCATTTGAGGGAGGATTTGAAAGTAATTTAGGCAAATGGAATTTGGACAGTTTAGTATTAAATTAAACCTGAACATGGCAAAATAGATGTAGAAATTTAAATTGAAGACTGGTTTGCCTTTGTAGCAAGCTCCTCACTACTGAAAGTATAGAGTCTTGCGTTTTGAAAGCAAATTAGGACTGCTGAAAGTAAAGGGAAAAAAAACCTGTCCGTGTTGCCTGGAAACCAAAGTAAATCTTATTCATGCCCAAATAATGCTTGCAGATGCCCATAAACATGGCGACAGTTTCAAGGTTCAATCTTTCTTTATTCTTGAAGGGCGCAATGCTTTCTGTAGTATGTGTGCACAAAAAAAAAAACTCACAAAGTGAAAGTTAACATCGCGACTGTGGCTCCAGAATTCAACGTCACATCATGGCCAAAACAGAAGTAGGCAAAAAAAAAAAAACAACAGGGTGAAGAACTCTGTACAGTCAATATCTTTAAAAATAACACAAGGACAAAAATGTTCCTCTTAAATCAAATTCTATCTTTTTCTTTTAGTGAAATACAACAAAATAAATTCTATAAAATAAAACAGCAAAATATTTAAATATAATATGGTGGGCAGAATAGTTTAATTTGCAGGAGTATTTGGTGACAATCCATTCAAGTTACCAATTAAATACAGTATTTACTGATGTTTACCTGTACTCCTAAAGAATATTACTTTACCTAGCTCAAGTTGCCACATGACTAACCAGCAGTTATTTTATGGTACAACCCTGCTTTTTATGTCCATTCTGCTCCAATGAGTCCCCAGACAGAGCCTGTGTTCAAGTAGAATAAGCAAGTCTGTCGACTTTAGTGGCCAATGTCAATCTTTGTGTAGTTTGTCTAAAACAAGGTTCAACCAAGGAGACAAACAAGCAAATTGAGTACAGTCCACTAATGCTCCAGGCATCCTGGCATAGCAAATTGTTGCATATACGTTTTCTCTTTCTAAAATTCCTATAAATCAGTCATTTTATTCTCACCACAGACTGACTGCCAAATGTTAAATTTTAGGATATATGTGCAATTGAGAAGCCACTTATTTCTTAAATTGGTTTGAAAACATTGTAGAAGTCATGGGAAAATAAGGCTCTTCAAAATAGCTGTGGATTAAGAAGCACAGCTGTTATGATCACAGATTTTCCCTTTGGCTACACTAGTCTGGTGTGAAGCCATGCTAAAATGTTACAGCATATTAACTAGAGCTTTCAAATGATTAATACCAGAACAGAAGAAAGGCAATGAAAAGTTTCCAGAACTATGGTGCACCACCACTTTCACGTCAACCTAGCATCAGGAGAATCACCCAACCATTCCATCATATCATGCCTACACTATAGCAATCTCTAGCGCCGGAGGTGGATCAGATTAAGTCGGAGTTGAAGTGGATAAAATGATTTTTGAGCTGAATGACCAAAATGGCCAAAAGGCAGACCAAACCTCACAACTGAGTACAGGTGATAAAACAGGGCTTTTTTTTGTCTTATACTTTTTTTTTGTATGTTTTTATAATTTTCAAATTTTGTTTCCATAAATCTGCAAGTTTCCAAACAGCACGTGGTGCTGCTGGTTTTGAACAGTCAAAACATTAATATAATATGTACATCGCTGTCATATAAGACAAGTGCATCAGGCCTGGCTTGTTACAACACCATACACAGTCCACTGCAGGCAGGTTATAATACTGCAGGGCAGACAGTGAATGCTCCACCCCAGGGTTAGAAGTACAGGGAGCAGAATTTTCTGGATACACAGGTTCTGGAGTGATGCTGCATGGTGAGGCCTGGCCTCGCTCTTGGATCGAACTACTCCAGAGAGCGTTCGGGTGGAGGACAGGAGGATGGTGTGGTGCTAGTCCTTTGTCTGGGCGGGTGGAACCTCTTCTGGGGGCTCCCAGTTCTCTTGTGCTCGTAGGCCTGGGCGCTGAGGATTGTTCATATGCTGTGCTGCTGGGCCTGTGTATGGCTGACCATGTGGAAGGTTGTTCTGCTATAGATAAAGAGCATCTCAGCACTGCTTCTAAAGGCCCCCCTCAAAGAAAGTTATTACATGAATGGTTATGTATATGCTCCCAGGGTGTTGTTAAGGAAAACAGTACTCCATGAAAACATTTGTTTTTCAGGTGTACCACTAGTTTAATAGTATTAACATGTGTACATGAAAACTTAGAGGATGGGTGTAGGTTCAGTGGTCATTTTGGATAGTAAACGAAATGGCAATAAATCGTACATTGTGACCCCTGTTTTCCATCAATGCTCTACAATGAGCAAACCTCTCTGAATTATGTAAATTATTGAATTTATACAGAAAATGAGGAAAAATTAGTTGAATTTAGCTTTAAATGTGTGACCGTCAGTTTCACACAATTAGTAAAAAAAAAATGTTTGCTTTTTTATTTCTGTATTGGAGCTAGAAAACTAATGTAGCTAAACAAAAAAAAATCTAAAGCCCATATCCACCAATTAGCACTGTGCAAAATCATTACACACTTTCCTCAAACCACATTGAGTTATGAAATAAGCTCAAACAGACTTGTGCATGTGTTTTCTGACAATGTAGGACACTGTTAATCTATAAATATGGTTAAGTTCAGGTTACTGTTTAGTTATACAGTGCAGTTTTGTCCATTTTTGGCATGAAGTTTGCATAATACTAATTGATGGGTATAAGCTTTGATTACGTCTCAGCCACATGAGCCTCGCAGAAACGGCAAAACAAACGTCTTGGCTGATTGACTGCATTTTGGGGCAACAGGAAAATTTCATACATTTGTGGCCAACTCTTTTGTTCAAAACATCTTTAGGCTTTTCTGTTTCCCATTTGAAAGATACTTTTTTGAACCTTTAAACAGTATTAGTAAAGGACGACCCATACAGGGGTTCAGTGGTACCTGCTGATACTGGGTCCCTGGAGAGTGAGGGTACAGAGAGGTGTCCTCTGGTGGAGAAGAGTCCTGATCATCCGGGGCCTCTTGATCGTCTGGCTCCTGAAAGAACAATAACTGCTCAGTAATTATAACCCCAGCTCAAAGAGAACTTCAAAGAAAGTTATGTTTAATTGAAAGCATTTATGTGTACGTGAAGACAAAACACAATCGCCTGGCCAAAATTAAACAAACTCATCTAGACCTGCCCAGGCGTATTCTAAGTTTGACCCAGCTTTAGCTAAAAACTTAAACACACATTCAGTTCAGTAGTTAGAGGAATGTGCGTGTGATGTAGAGTTGAACGTTAAAATTTGTAACTTCCAAAAAGATACAAAAAACAGACTTTACAGATAATCAAGATGAGAAAACACACAGAACCCAATTGTAGACAAAAAGACAAATATCCAACACACAATCTCAGCACTCAACAATAAACTTAACAGAAATATTTTTAAACACCAAGCCACACTGAGTTTAAAAGAACACGCTGATAGAAGGCCTAGCCTGGACATTTTACCATGTAGATATTACAGAGCTGGCCATAAAAATGGCGATAAAATTAAAACAAATAAATTTTCGTTTTGCAAGTTGATTACTGGGTCTGATTTCTGTTCATCGTGGTTAGACATCAGAACAGTACTTCTACAACCAAAAGCACTCAAACACAGGTTTCTACAAAAGAACAGCCATCAAAGTACACTATAGCCAAGGCTTAGAGTTTTCGATCACTTTGTGTATGACACATTAAGACTTGAAGTTGGGGAGGAAGAAACAGTTTGAGTTGAAAAACATTGAGATGAGGACAAGAAATAACAGTTAATTAAGAGCTGTTTTTTGTTTGAGGGAGAGGGTAATGGACTTGGCTACACCATGCCCTGTGAACACCAAGAGGTTACGCAGATGGCACCAGTGTGGCCAGGGCATACGAATCTTACAGTGTGCTGAGGCTGGCCTGTCACTTCCCCTGGCAAAAGCTGCTGTGGCGAGGACGGCTTCCGGCCTGCGTCCTCTTCAGACACCACCTCGTGCTTCATTAAGTGACACTAGTTTGAAATGGCAGTTAATAATGCATACTGTACACTGTACACGTGTCAAACGATGTCATGTGGACTTATCTATCTATACTTGGAAACATGTAACATTATCATATGGCCATCAATTAAGCTAAGCTGAAAAGGCCAAAGCTTACTTGGTTTAGCAAATGAAAGAAACAAAGCTATGATAAACTAATAAAAAAAAGAATGAAAACACAGTACATAGAACTACTCATTTATACAAATGCCAACAGCAAAATATTAATATTTTGACTGGAAAAATAAAAATCTGGAAATTAAATTGTCGAAAACTCAAAGCCCTACCTATAGTTAAATATAGCACTAGTATTCTGCAATCAAAATTTCAGTACATAATAATGATAATGCTACCAAAGGCAAATATGATTTCATAAACAGGTCCACTTAAGCTTTTCTTGCTCTTTTCTCCATTATAGTCTGGTATATAAATACATCAACATTGATTTCTCAAAAACAGACATTAAGATAAAGAGTTAATTACATCTACTGAAGGGAAAAGAAAACTATCCATTGAAAATAGTTCTAACAATATGTGAATATGTGCAAATTAGAGCAAAAAGGAAACACCACTGCAACTGCAAGCTGTATTAAAAATGGAAAAAACAATGCTGTAAGAGTTTAACTCCTTTCTGGAAGCACCCAACCTCAAAATTAGCTATTAATTATATGATGTTACAATTTAAGCTACACAGAACATGCTACAGTCATGGCTGGTGAGGGCAGTGTGTATTTCTCCTACCTCCTCTGGGCACAGTTCACAGGCCTTAGCTAAGGTCATGCGTGCACTGTGGGAACGCTCGAGGAAGTAGCCATTGGAGGTCTCATTGCTCTGGACAGGAGGAGACCAGTTGTTATAGGTGTACTGGGCATTACCAGTGTATGGCCTGCGCTCTAATTCATCACCAAGCCACTCTACTGCCCATGTCCACTTCCTCTTCAGGTCTCCGTTACTCTGTAAACACAAACAGCAGATGGTTATAGGAATGATAATATAATTATTCTACAGTCCTAAAATAAACAAGTACACATGTATGGTCTCGTAGTTTTCTGTTACACCTGAAGGATCTGATAAGCCACTGAGCAGTTGCTGAACAGGGCCACCATGCACTTAATGCACTGGTAAGCTCTTTTCTGGTAGTGGTTTTTAGAGCGCTGGATGGTGTCAAACAGTCCATCACGGTCATCTGGGATACCCTTCAGCACATTGTGTATCCTGGTGGATCATAAAGGAAATTAAGAGTTTATTTAGATTTAATCAATGTGTTATTTGACAACAATGACTGTTTGAAGGCTGCCTACATGGCAAGTTTAAGCTGACCTGTGAGTTTGCCAGGAGTCTTCAATAAGCAAGATCTGTAGCAGCAAGTCCAGGTAAGGCCTTAATTCATACGTGTAGGAATATGCAACCTGTTAAAGAAAGAAATAAAAAGGGGGACAAACAAAAAAAATCACTAGCTGAATCAAGTTTTTGAAAAACCGATGAAATCTTTAATTCGTTGGGGACTATATATCTGTATTAAAGAGTTAATACAGAAAAAGTCAAATATTAAACCTACAACAATGTGTCAAAATCTAAAGACATTACAAATAATTTTAATAGTAATGAAAATAAGAAGCAGTAATTTAAAACACTGTCTTTCAGACGTGTTCAAACAGTTGGAGCAGCAGCAAATCAACAGTTATAGTGCCAGCAATGCAGAACTATTTTGTTCCTACAAGCCAAAGTTTCTACAAGTGACATTAGACAAGCTATTTTTAGTTTCTGCTCATGCCAAATATCAAGAGGAGGTAAAACGCTCAAGAACTTCTACATTACAGGCTTGATACCATAGGAAAACACAACAAACCACTTGATATGTAAAACTGTATCAAAACAGAAGCAAACGACAGTGCTGAAGTGCTTGTAGTCTACATAATGCAATATTTTTGATTGCTTATTTTATGTAAGCTGTTTGTATATATTGTCAGCTTTTGTTGTTTGAGGCTCCAGTTTTCAGCCAAATGTGCCCTAAATGTTGGTTTTGGCCAAAAATTTCCATTTCAATGCATCGCTGTCTAAAACTAAGCTAACATTAATCCAAATTCAGAGAAAAGCTTCTAAAATCAAAGTGATGGAAAGGACCAGGAAGTATGTGGTTCTTATCTGAATGCTGAATGCAGTGTTTCTTACTTGCCACAGAAGTTCACTGAGCACAGTGGAGGAGAACTGAGGATTCTCCCAGCAGCAGAAGCGCAGCAATTTGATGGTCTCCTCTGAGTTACTACAGTCCTCAATGATCTTCTTCACATAGCTGGTGCGCACAAACAGGATCTCAGCCACCAGCTGCTGCAGAGGCATTATGGGCTGTGTCAGGCTGGGATCACCATATGGGTTCGGAAGAGGAGGGTTACCTATTATGAAAGGTGAGTACCAGAAAAAAACGTAAACAATGGCAGAGTATCTTCGTACAGTATGTGCATAATAATTGTGTTTATGCCCTCAGCTCCAGGCAATGCCACCGAGGCACTGAAGCCTGGAGATGGCTACTTTGTCAGTCACATGACACTGAGCAAGGATGTGAATCATCAGTGGGCAATGAGAACTGTATAGAGTAAAACAAATTACTAGTATACAGAATACAAAACAAGGTAAAAGAGACTCACCGTTAATTGAGGACTGCATACGGGAAGCTACATCGCAGCAACGCACCAGTTGCGACACCACTGTGTAAAGCTTTCCTAGCTCAGCATACTGGTACTTAATGGGCGGGCCTGGGCCCTCGTCCAGTGCCACCAGCATGAACGTAGCTGGCACGCTAAGCTTCAACAGCTGTGTCTTCTCAGCCAAGCCTGCAAGTAGACAGCAGAGATCATCAGAAGTTACATAAAGTGCTGCTACATCTGGTGGTCTCTGTTTTATAATGCTGAACTTCATTATTCTAAACTGGCTTCTGTCTTGCTGTCTATGAAGTGACCTTTTGAACTGGTGACCTGTTCACCTGTCATAATAACAGGAAAAAAACAGGTGAAACGGGTGAAAAACAGGCTTGTGGGGTGGGTGACATGACAATGATATCATTACCATAATAAATTACTATAACAGATCATAAGTCTTCTCAGCCTATCATTTAAGAACACTGATCAGAATGAATAAAATGACATTTAAAAGGGGTTCCCACGTATTGTATCCTAAATATGTGGCACTACTGTTATGGTGATGCATTGTGTCTAGCAATACGTTTTCAATATCACAATATGGTGAACAACTCAATACTCTAACTTTAAGTACTATCAGTTCTTTATTGAAATTGTCTATATCATGAAAAAAATGATTTTACTCTCTTTACACTTTGTGATGTAGTATGTAACAGTGCACACCATTTACTCCCTGGTAAATAAATTAATACATGGACATTGCAGGTTAAATAATCTCTTGCTTCAATTCAGAGCATATTGCTCTTTTAAGTAAAAATGCAGGTTCCTTACCAAGATTGGCATACATGACAAAGAGGTTGAAGTATTGCTGCAGGTGGCGGCCATGCTCAGACACCTCTCTCCGTAACAGGTTTAGCACAGCACGAAACAAATGGTCACTTAGGCTCAGATTATCACAGCCCTAACCACAAAGCCAGAAAAAATATGATCATCAAGAGAGAGAAATAAAAAGCAGTTAAAATGAATGAACATGTCTCCACTTCAGTGTTCACTTCATTATGTACCCTACAAGCTCACCTGACTGGACGGTCCTGGTGAGGCAACCGGTGATGGGTAGGGTCCATCTTGCAAGGAGAAATGTGCAATAAATACTACAAGCTTGGAGAAGGCTCCTCGGACCTCTGCACTGGGGCACTCAAGCAGGTATTCTGAGAAGCGGTTTGCGTAGGCAAAGAGGGCGTTGTGTGCAAACCAGCAGCGTACATTCTTGCTGTGTCGAAGCAGGACGCACAGGGCATCATACCTAGGAAGAGATTTAACATGCTTATTTTTAGGGTAATCAAAAGGCAAATGCTTGTTAGATAAATGTCCAATCATTTGTGTAAAAATATACATTAACAAGTCCGGGCTTATACACGTACCAATCACTAGCAGGGCCACGGACAACTTTCTTGGTGTGGAATCCTGTGCTGAAGAGAAATCTAGCAGCGAGTTGAATGCTAATCATAGCCATTTCTTCTGCTTCAGGCAAAAGATGGTCTTGGCCTAATTAAGGCAGAAACAATCAAGGTAAAACAAAAATGACTTCCAAAACTCAAGTCAGTGATGTCTATGCATGCTTTAAAAACAACAGGAGGTTTTAACACCAGCTAAATGGATGGTCACCTAAAACATATTCTCATCAACACAGAGATAAC